GCTATCTTAGCTACGATCAAGTCAACCACCATTGCTCAGCAGCGCCCATCACTTACTGCTTACATAAACCCACACGCTTCCGATCCTACGAAGTAGTCTTGCCTCTTGGGATCAAGGATCGTCACAACTATTAAATAATAGTATTAAAAGAATAGATACTAAATCTTAAATAGTTTAAATTAGCTAGATCTTAACTATATTAAAGAGTATAGTTTAAAGATATATTATCTTAAAGATAAATATTATAATATTATAATATTAATTAAGATTAAATATTAACTTTATATTAAGATTAAATATCTTATTAGTTATAAAGATATAAATATTTAATAGATCTAAATCTCTAAGAAGAGAAAGATTATTCTATTAAGAGATATAATCTTTAAAGAAGAATTCTTCTTTAAAAAGAAGAATTATAATAGATCTAGAGAGAGATTAACTATATTTATATTATTAATAAAGATCTATAAGCTATTAAAATTAATAGAGAGAGAGCTAGAGTCTAAAAAGACTAATAATAAGATTATTAGTCTTTTTAGTCTAATAAATAGATTATTTAAAGCTATTAAAGAGAGAGATTAGTCTTAATAGGCTAAAGTAATTAAAAAGACTAGCTTAATATAAGAGAGGCTTAAAGAGATAATTATTATCTATCTAACTTCTTATTAAAGTAAAAAGCTAGTCTAAGAACTAATTATAATAAGACTAATAAAAGGCTTTAAATCTATATTCTTTAGTCTAATAACTTTAAAAACTTTATTAAAGAAAGAGAATAATATTCTAAAGATACTAGAAAATTTTTAGAAAGATTTCTTAAGTTCTATACTAATTAAATAATTAGCTTAAAATTATAAGCTAATAGACTATATATAGTAATTAAGAGAGTAAGAAGAGCTTTTTAGAAGATAATAATAAGTAATTAATAGGATAATTCTAAAGAACTATTATAATATTAATATAATCTATACTAGCTTTTAAGCTAAAGTAGTTTCTATTAAATAAGAGTCTTAATAATTACTTTAATTATATTAAAATAACCTATTACTAAAGCTAAGAAATATTAAGAAGGTTATTAATAGCCTCTATAATTAATATTAGCTTAAGATTATATAGAAGGAGATTAAGAATATTTAAGATAATAAGATATTAAAGATAATAAATTATTATAAAGTTAAGAGCTAGATAGTTATATTATTAAAATAGGTATTTATCTATAAGTTTAATAATAAAGAGTATATTAAGAGATTTAAGGCTAGAATCTATATTTAAGAAGATTAATAGCTACTAAATAATTAGAATACCTATATTACTATATTAATAGAAAGGTCTTTCTAAATTCTTATAGCTATTACTATAAGATTTAGGCTTAAGATAAAGTAATTAGATATAATTAATATCTTTACTAATATCTACCTTAATAAGAAGGTATTTATAGAACTTCTATTATACTTTAAATAGACTAATAAGATTATTTATTTAATTAAAGTATTATATAGCCTATAGATATTACTATTATTATAATAAAATCTTCTTTTAATAGTTCTTATTAAAATAGAATTTATCTAATTAATTAAAGAGCTATATCTTTTCTATAATAACTTTATTCTAATATTCTTCTATATTAATAATATTATCTATTTTTATTATAAGAAGAATAAAGTTAAAGAAGAGGTCTTTAAAGAGATCTTAATCTATTAATTTAAAATAAGAGATTTAAAGGATATTAAGTAATTCTTAGAAATAAAGATTATTTAAAGTATTAATTAAAGTTAGATCTAAATCTTATAAGAAGATAAGATTATTAATCTTATTATTAGATATAAGCTTAATAATATAACTAGAGAGCTAACTATCTCTATATTAATTAAGAAGATTATAAAGTTAGATAAGTAAATAATCTTATTAAAGATTTATATCTATTAATAAAAGATAGGATCTTTAATCTATCTTAATATTATTATAAGATTAGATATTATTAAAATAGTTATTAATCTTACCTACTTTCTTATAAACTCTCTATTTAAAGTAATAAAAAAGATAGATAGAGTTATCTATTATCTCTTAAGAATAAAAAAGCTAGATATTTTATTTAATAAGAATAATCTAAATCTCTTATTTAAAGTTTATACTAATACTTTATTTAAAGATAATTTAAAGAATTAAAAGTCCTTTTAAAAATATCTTATAATATTATTTAAAAGTATTATTAATTAGAAAGTAGTTAAGTAAAATATTATTACTATCTTATTTATTAAAATAAAGTTATTTACTCTTATAAGCTTCTTTTAAGAGATTATTATTATTATATAATTCTTTAAGAAAATAATATTATAATTATTAAATTAGTTTATTATTTATTATAATAACTATTAAATTATTTATTTAGTTAAAAGTAAGAATTTATAACTTAAGATAGCTTTAAGATATATTAATATTTATTATTATTAAATCTAATAAGAGATTTAAAAGAAGATAATAAAGATAGAATATTTAATTACTAATTAAATACTAGCTAATAGGCTAATTAAGATTAGTAAAAAGATTAATAATCTTTAATTATACTAAATAAAAATAATAAACTTCTTAAATTTAAAAATATTAAGAACTTTATTAAAAAATCTAATTAAAAATTAAATCTAAACCTCTTATTAAAAAAGATAGATATTTTATTATTAAACTATTAAAACTACTTATAGAAAGTACTATATTATTATTTTCTATATATCTCTTTTTATTACTATTTAAAAGAAGAATAAAAAGATTAATATCCTCTATAGAGATTAAATCTATAGAATCTTCTAGTCTAATTAATTTAAATAAAAAGCTAATAAACCTAAGAAATATTCTAACTAAGATTATTTAAAACTATATCTTAAAGCTTAAAGATATTTAAAATCTAATTTAAAGATCTAACTAAGATTTAAACTTAAGTCTTCTATCTTAAAAGATAGATATTATAATTATTAAACTATTAAATTAGTTATTAAAAAGAATAGAAGTTATTTAAAATTATATAAGATATATTAAAATATATAAGAAAGATATAAGAATTAATAAAAAAAGAGATATAACCTCCTATCTAATATATATCTATATTAATATCTAATATATAATTAATAAGACTAAAAGTAGTTAAATAGTCTTTAATATTAAGTAAAATTATTAATTTTCTATTTAAGATATAGAAATAGCTTTAGATCCTCTAGAATTCTAGATTCTAGAGATCTAGAGAGGTATATTAAAAGGAGCTAGTCTATTAAGAACAACCCTAGAGTAAATTTAGTATATAGAGCTGTCTCTGCCTAATCACACCGCCCTTTAGGGCCACCCCTAAGGGCCGGCGGCCCCCCTGGCGGCCTTCCCCTTTTCTCCCTTAGAATTAGACATCTTAATGAATAGAATTCGATTGATCCGACCCTTAGTTGACACAGGCCCATCCGAACGTTTCCCCTTGCAGTGGTGCATCGCCTGCGTTGGCCTGTTTCAGGTTGCCCGGGTGGCTCCTCTGACAGGTGGGCGCAATGCCGTGAGGCCGCAGCTTTGCGGCTGCGGTGTTGCCTCGTGGATCTTTTCAGGTCTTGATTGCGACAGAGATCTTCTGTAGGGTAGCGAGGTCCATCCACACATATCTGGCCGTTGTCGTCATCCTCTCCCGGTCCACCTTCAACCTGTCCTTGGCCCGGGCATCGCCCAAACCTTCCTTCCGAACGTGCGGCTCTGCAATGTCTGCGCGACCGACGAGTTCATACAACCCGGCTTGCTCGGGAGGAAGCCCCGAGTCCTCCTCGTCCATGAGGACCCGGCTGATCCCGTCGCTGTCCTCGCCGGTGAGATAGTCGTGTAGCCCATCGCTCCGGAGCCGCATGACGATGGCCGCATCGCAATCCCAGAAGCGCAGCACGAGATCTCCCACCTCCGCCCCGTGAGGCGCGAGGCCCATGCAGTGCTCCGTGCCCACGAACCGCGCCGGCTCGCCCAGAGGTAAGCAGCCAAGAGCCGGCTTATAGTCTTCTGGCGAGAAATCCCGTAGTGGAGACCATGCCACCGCATGATTCTCAAAGGAAGAGATCCGTGCCAGGTCAGTCTCGTTGAAGTCGATGATCTTGCCTGTATACGTCTCCTCGACCTCTCGAAGCTTGGAGAGGTCGTTCTCATCGCTGTAGTGATCGTACCAGCTGGACACCCATCTCCCCGATTCGAAGTGCGAGCCGAGGAAGTTTGAGTAGGTGGGCCCGATGCTCTGGATTCGACCGGCAATGTACGCCTTGACTTGTATGAATGGCGGGGACACAGGTTTGATGGAAGCTTTGGTTTGGAGGAACCCCGGTTGTTTTACCTCTTCATCGACCTTGCCTCCAAGAGCCTTCTGAACCACACCCGCGAATCTGACAACTCGAGACCTCCTCTCGTCTTGTCTCTCCTCCTCAGACTTGCCAAAGTCTAGCTTTGGCATCGCTCGTCGGTACATGTGCAGTACCACATCGCACCAGATGTCGTAAAAGGGCCGTTTGTAGTCTACCACGATCGTGCCTCGTCCTCTCCGGGTACTGTCACCGTCGTAGGGATGCGGGGTTGGAAGGGTCTCGGCTGTGTTGATCGAGACAACGTCGTTTGCCAGACCAAGCAAGCCGTAGACTCTGTCGCGCGTCTCGCCGCACCCGCAATGCATGAATTTCTCGATCAGCGCTTCCAGCCTCATGTCGTCCGTGAAGCGCTGCTTCCTTGCCTTCAGGAGCTTGTACATGGGCGCGTGCGCGTCGAGGACGGACAGCATTATCTGCTGCTCAGACCACACGTACTGGCCCGTGACAAACACAACGGACCTGGCGAGGCAGACCTCCTGCACTATCCAGACACGCCTCCAGTAAGGGTCCTCGTCCACCGGGAAAGTATCCTGACCCAGCTGCGAGAACACGACACGCTCAGTCGCGGCAAACTGGCTCTGGCCGGACGTCCACTTCGAGGCGCGGACGACAGCGCTGGTCCGGTCAGGCTCCTCCTCGGGCAGGCCCAACCAGGACACCACATGCACCGCACGCGTGTAGATGAACGCCATCAAAGCGACCTGAGAGTTGCGCTCCGGAACGTCATCCTGGTTGATGCATATCTGGTCCGTCCAGAGACTTATGCTGGTCTTGTCGGACCGCAGATAGTTCAAGGCGAGCGCCAGGTTGTGACTGATGGGGACTTGGTGCCCATCGAGCTCGATACAGTCGGAACCGTCATCGGCTTCGACGACGGTGGCATTAGATCTGCCTATGCGGACGCTTGCATGAGCCTCGTCCCTGTCTTTCCAGGTGTAAGATAGCGCGATGTACTTGGGCTTGGAGGCAAAGGTCGCCGAGACTAGCCGACCCCGGAATGGATCGGAGAAGCGGCCCGGGTCTAGGACAAGCAACCGCAGGCCATCGCCGCGCGGTAGAGGTGGGTAACGAAACGACGACATTGTAAATTCCCGAGCTTCTACGTTAGGTATCTTGTGAGAAACATACGGAGTAGGATATGAAAATATTGTGCATGGGAAAATTGAAGAGCAAGGCAGCAATGCAATCAAATGCGACTAAACCCAATTCGGTCAGCTGTTTGGGACTGTTTGCACAGCATCTATTTGCTTTTCTAGCCAACGTGAGTCTATACTGTGTCTCTCGTGATCAACCTAGGAGTCATGCAGAGGATATGTTGCTTTTCCGAAATTCTTCATTCAGAGCCGATATAAACCCGCAGGGCTCTCTTGTTCTGGCGGCAGAAATACAGAACACCGTCACCTTGACCGTATTCGGAATTGACGACCAAGTCTGATAGGCACTTTTGTCTGCACTTGTTTCAGTGAATGCTCAGAAAGTAAGCAAGCCATTACGTTGACGAACGGTTGACAGACGCCCTGCAGCACAAACACATGAATATGGCTTGACTGATGTCATCAGGTGTATGGCAGCGGAGGGCAATCGATAGCCGTGTACACCAGTTGATTTTCTAGTGCTGGATGATAAACTCAGAACTCAACGGCCTGATAATGCGATTGTAATGACAAATTATTGTACAACTGGATCAGCTCATGGACCTCGCACGACTGATACAGTGATCAAAGGGTAACCATAACGCCGCCATGCCCTCCCTGCCTTCTTCTCGACCACCACCAGGACATCTTACAGCTGCTGCTTGACCTGTTCGGCCTTGCCTTTCGCCTTGCCAGCGACCTCATGTGCCTTGCCCTTGGCTTCACCAGCCATCTCCTTCGCATCACCTCGGAGCTCGGCAGCCTTGCCGGTGGCCTTGCCGTGGACGATGTCCTCGCCGGCCTCCTTGATCTTGCTACCGACCGTAGCTGCAGTACCAAGTTAGTCACTTTGTCTTTTGATCTACATCTTTGGGGATATGACGAGGGAGACTGCTTACCGCCAATGTTGATGCCGTCGACGAGCTTGTCAGAGACGGCGCGGTCTACCTGCTTGACGGCGTCCTTTGCGGTCTCGGTGGCGGTCTTCTGCAGGATGATGCTGGAGCTGAAGGCAGCGCGGGGAACGGTCGAGACGGCAAAGGTGCGAGGGACGGTCGCCAGACGGCGTACGGCGGTCTCGGTGAGGAAAGACATGGTGATTTATGGTAGTAGGTAACGGTGTCAAGGTTTGTTCCGTGAGGTTCGTTTGATGGAGGGATGCCAATTGGCAGTTGATTTGACGATTTGGATTCTGGTAGGATTGAAATATTTCAGTGGCCAAGAGTAATGAGTGTAGGTTGTGTGTGATGTTTTGGGATTATTTAAAGCTCCTGGAGCTTGCTGGGAGGGATGAGCTCGTGATGATGTCATGGGTGTGCATGCTTGACGAAGTCCAGGCGTTGGCCCACCAAATCGCCCTTCCAAACTGGCGGGGGCCACAGGCACATGTGAACGGAGGGCTGGTCACTGCGAGACCCAAATCAGCGCGGCTCGTTACCTGGGAGAGTAGCAGTTCGGTTTGAAATGCAGGCCAATGACGTTCATTCGCAGGTGCTACAGTCATCCGCATGGCTTCTTGATGTTTCTCCCCCAGTGGGCCTGGCCGAGGCGGCTCAGATCGGCAGCCCATTCACTCGATCAGTGCCGATTCAGTTGGGCCTTCGCCCATTTAATGACGCCATGGTCACTGAATGTATGCACCACAGTGTAGTCTCGCTATTTGAACGAGGGCCATTTGCATGGAGCGGTTGCTCCGTAGCGGCCATAAGTGATGGCCACATTAATTGACGGACTGCTAACAGAAGTACTTGCGTATCCATCAAGCCCATCGGTTTTAGGTAGTGGGATAGCCCTTCCGATTTCCAGGGCAAAAGATGCGACAACATTGAAGGATATTGGACTGTTAACGTTGAGGTGGCTCCTGATGAACTTCCGTCAACTACTATGACGCCCGCTTGCGGCCCGCGCAGTTGCTTTTACATGTAATAGCTACAATAGTTAACTAGAGCGAGCCTCACTGCGCCCTGTGACATGTACCTGCAAATACTTGTAAGCCAAGCCTAAACTGTTCTCTTCCAAAGAGTACAGCAGTCCGTCTCCGGTTCACTAAGTCACTTGAGCCCGTAGCCTGCGTAAAGCTTGCCATGTAGAAATCTAGCGGCCCTTGAACACCGGCTTCCTCTTCTCGGAGAAGGCCTTGAGCGCCTCGTTCCTGTCCTCGGTCGCAACGACCCGCTCGTACATCTTGTTCTCGACGGCCTCGATGGGGTGCTGCACCGCCTGCAGCGCGGCCCGGACGGCCACGGGCCCGCCCTCGCAGATCTCGTGCGACAGGCGGACGGCCTCGGACAGGACCGACCTCCGCGCGCTGCGCAGGACCTCCTGGCTCTTCTCCGCGTCGCTCTTCTCCGACCGGCCCTCCTGCTGCTCCTCGGGCAGGACCTCGACGAGCCTGTCGGCGATGCCGAGGAAGTAGGCCTCGGGCGCGGAGACCCTGCGGCCGGTGATGATCATGTCGCGGGCCCGGGGCACCCCGATGAGGGCGGGCAGTCGGTAAGTGCCGCCGGCGCCCGGAATGATGCCTAGCTTCGTCTCCGGGAGCCCGACCATGGCGTTGGAAGAGAGGACGCGCATGTGCGTCGAGAGGGCGAGCTCGAGGCCGCCGCCCAGAGCGACCGACGAGATGGCCGATATCGTGGGGATCGGGAGGGCAGATAGGGAGGCAAAGGTGGCGCGGAGGGTCGTGAGGAAGGCTGCGGTCCTGTTTGCAGTGATCTCAATTCAGCAATCGCTCCAACAATGAGCCAATCTGATTTCGTGGAGTCTTACTCTTCCTGCGTAAATCCCTTCCGCTCCTTGAGGTCTGCGCCCGCGCAGAAGCAGGTATCAACAGCACTGGCAATAATCAAGGCGCGAGTCGGACCCTTCTCGGCATCGCCCGCGGGACCGCTGAACCTCGTCTTGAAGCCCGGCTGCTCGATCTCGGCGCCCGTCTCGGCATTGTACTGCGCGTGCACGGCCTCGATCTCGTCGCGCAGGCTGTACAGCAGCGCTCGCGAGATAGCATTGCGCGCAGCCGGCCTGTTGAGCTCGAGGACGCGGATGTGGCCGCTGTTGGGCGCTGGCAGGTCGGTCACCTGGACCAGCGGGCCCGGGTTCGCCTCGGTCGAGTACCAGAATCCGGAGAGCTTGGTGCGGCTCGCGAGAGCCTGCTGCCGCCGGAGGGCTCGTGAGAGGGTAGCGACGGGTGTTATGCGTGCAGGCATGATGTCGGGTGAGGTTTCAATTGCATAGAGCTGCAATTGAGCAAGGAAGATGGCGAGGTAAGAAGTTTCGCGTGAAGATCTGGGGACATTTTGCAGAGCTATGATGTCGAGCTGTCGGCCCCCGGTTACAGACGGATTAGCGCGGTCTGTCGCTGGGCCGATTTGAACCAGCGCCGCCAGAGGAACTCCAGACACACTTCTCAAGGGACGGAGTATGAGGCCCGACACATACAATGCAGCTTCATACCTATCTAGACTCAAAGAAAGGGTATAATAGAAGAAGCCCAGTCTCGGCAGGGTAACCAAGCGCTTTCACTGTGCATCAACGAGTAAACAATGCTACTAATTGAGAGCGTGCAGTCAGGTGTTTCACGGCTCTGCGGCGCTGAGAGCATGCGTCTGGACCCTTCATCTACAGGTTCCAACATTTGCAGTGACACTATTTCTTGCTGAGCTCTGTACAGTCGAACTCTGATGCATGAAACTCAAGACGACTAATAATCTCAATGCAAGCCAGCCTACCTACGGAGTGCCGAGTAGGACATCGGGGATTGGTGTCCGACCGTTTCTGCCAAGACGCGATGGCCGTGAATGGCGCCTTTTCCCTTGTGGAGCGCACCAGCTGAATCAGGCACAGTCATGAGCGAAACGGCAACGCAACGGTGAGGCTGTGCAGCTGAAAAATGTGCTGCAGTTGATAAATAACATCCGACGGCACCATTGCTCAAGCCACTCCTTGGGCTGTGAAGCAAAAACGGACCCTCACGCGACCATCCGCCCTCTTACGTCTCCCAAGGTCTTTCATGTTCTTTATATCCCCTACCTGTGGCCTTGACGTGACGACCCTCGGCGCTTCCGTCGCCAGCTTGAGAGGGACAACATGTCGTACTATCCCCCAAATCAGCAGCCGCCAGGCTCGCCGTACAATCCCGGAAACCCGGGTGTAGCAGGTTATGCTCCTGGACAACAGCAGCTACCGTACTTTCCTCCACCTCCCGGCGCTCAAGGAGGCCCACCACCACCTCCTCCTCCTCCACCAGCACAACAGCCTGTCAACGCCGCGCCGGCCATTCCAGCCCGGCCGCCTGGTTATGAAACTCCGCAGACCTACTTGACGCCTCATCCACCGGGGCACCAGCAGGCGCCGCAGCCACAGCCGCAGTGGACATCCAACATCGCGGGTCGGCAGTACCAGGTGCACTATGCACCTCCACCTAAAAGTCCGACCAGGCCGCCGGAGCTCCCTCCCCGTCCTACCTCAGCGGCTCCTCCCTCTCCGGGAGCTTATCAGGGCTATTCCGCACTGCCATCTGGCCCGTATCACTCTTCTCAGCCCAGCCATACCCCGTACGGATATAACAATGGCTATCCACTGCCGCCACCTCCGCCAGGACCACCTCCGGCGCAGTCCCCGTCGCCTTACCCAGCCGGGGGGCCGGGGTCATCGTATCCTCCGCCTCTGCAAGGGCCGCCAGCGGCGGCATCACCATACCAATATCAGCTCCAGCCATTACCGGGTCCTTCGTCACAGCCCTCAACAACGTATCAGGCACCTCCTCCACCTCCTCCTGGCCCGCCTCCGCCGCAGGCTGCCTCGCCTTATCCTGGTTCGTCATATCAAACAATATATCAGCCGAATCCAGCGAGTTACCAGCCTCCTCCTCCTCCAGGGATTACTAGCGGAGTAATCTCACCTGATGATGTCCATACACCAGGCAGATCTCAGGGGTATCCCCAATATTCTCCGGGAATTGCGGAACTGGGCCCGTCGATCTCAGTCTCAAGCCCTCCAGCAGATGCCAATGCAACTTCTCAGCCATCTCAGCCGAACAACGCCTTTGTGCACAGCATCACTCCCACGAATCCTGCCCAACCGAAGCCTTCCAAGCCAGTATCAGCCGTAGAGAACATCATCTCATTCACGTCTCCGTCGCCACCCACCCCAGCGCAGCTATCGCAAGGTGTTCAGGAAGGCTCTGCAGCTCGCCACGATATTGAGGGCGTCACAAATGCCTTCCAATCTATGAAGGTTGGATTCGACCCTAGGACAAGTATGCCACCGCCTCCGCCACCTCCTCAACCACAGCAGCCGTCTCTCACAGGATCAGTACCCATTATGCCGGGTGATAACCAGCACGGTGCAAACAATCCTACTCCTCCACAGCATGGGCAGTATCAGGAACCTCAGGCACAAACATACCCGCCACCACCGACGCAGCAACCAACAGAAGGCGTTAATAGCCATGGCAATTCCAGTGCTCCTCTGCCGAGCGCGGGACCTCCTCCGGGACCTCCCCCGCCCGACCAACTTCACAGGGCTGACTATACCACACCAACCCATGCCGAGAACACTCCGCAAGGACACGGACCCGCCACAACGAAGTGGACTCCGCGAAATGATTGGGATCGACGATACGAGAAATATGGCATCAAGACTCTTCCGGTGTGTATTGGCAGCGCGGTTCCGCTCAAGACGACTTGGTACACCCACCAGTCAGCGCCTAGCTATCTGATATGCTCGAGGTGCTATGTCGACCACATCTATCCTACTCGTTTCAAGGATGACTTTAAAGGCGAAGAACTCGAGGCAGACAAGGCACATATATGCCGTTTCCCTACTCTCAGGGTCAAAAAGGAGCTCTTCCCGCAGGTCGTGACGACGGGCGACTTGCAGCCGTTCTTGGACTACGCAAATGCCCGTCTCGGACTTCCGGAGTGCAAAGGCGCCAAGGGAGCCAAGGGATCTGAGGGCATCAAGTGGTGGAGGGCCAAGAACGACGCGATCCCAGGCCTGGTTATATGCGAGACGTGCGTGGAAGATATGCTCAAGTCTAGCCCGTTCATGGCCAAGTTTGAGCCTGCTACTGGACAAGGAGAAGAGGACATCTGGTCGTGCGATCTCGCCCTTCCTTATCTAGCCCGAGTCCTCCAGAAGACCAGGGAAACCGGGGACTGGACAGCATTCATGGAAGCCGCCAATCTTCGAATCCAGCTGCAAGCGGCGCAGCCCTGCCCCAGACTCCAGCACATCCCTACGGAAAACAGAAACTTCTATACTCCCCTCCAGGGCCCGCGACACTTGACTATCTGCGAGTGTTGCTATTTGGACCGGGTGAAGGACATAGACGGCATGGACTCGCAATGGTTCCGCTCGACCAAGCGGGAGGAGAAGGTCCCAGGCGAGAAGGCCTCGTGCGACATGGTCGAACCCAACATCCTCATGCTCATGATCATGGCGGACGAGCGCGAGGACCCCTCGCTCTTCTTCACTGCCCTCGCGAAACTCACGGCCGAGCCCCACTGCGGGCTGGAGGGCGTCAAGACGAAGAGGTGGTACACGCTGCCCTCGGACCCGGCCGGCTTCGGCGTCTGCGGCGCGTGCTACGAGGGCACCGTCGAGCCCTGGGGGATCTCGCGCTTCCTCAAGCCGAAGCCGGGCTGGGCCGCCGACGGCGAGGCACACCTGTGCGCCCTGAGCGCCGGCCACGCGCGCTTCGAGAGCATGGGCCGGGCCCTGCTGCGCACCTTCTTCGCCGGCGACGCCGCGCAGTGGGACGAGTACGCGGGCGTGTACGCCGCCATGCCGCGCTGCACGCGCGACAGCGACTGCAGGGGCCGCGAGTGGTACGGCTGGCCCGAGTGCACCATCTGCCCGGAGTGCTACCACGAGTTCTGCCGCGGCACGGCGCTCGAGGCGCAGATGCCCTGGCGGCGCAAGCTGCTGACGGGCTACAGCATGTGCGAGATGTACTCGCCGCGCATGCGGGGCATGTACGCCGAGGCGTGCGGCCGGACGCCGCCGGACGCGACGGAGCTGCGGCGGTACTCGGACCGGCGGCGCGTCGTCTACGCCAACACCATCGTGCGGTGCCGCGAGATGGTCAACGAGCAGCGGATGGCGCTCGTGCAGCAGCAGATGCTCAACCAGCAGAGCCTGTTCTACACGCAGCTCGGGCGCAACGAGGTCAACACGATCGGCAGCCACCACACCTATAGCCAGGCCGGGGTGGTCGGCACCTTCCGCAGCCAGTGGGAGCTCGACGGGGCGCGGTACGGGCAGCAGGCCAACGAGGTCATGCGGAACGCGACGCGGCCGGGCAAGGCCATGATGGTGGCGGAGCTGGAGAGGCAGTGGAGGGCGGTAGAGTAAATGTTCAGAGGGTTATCCCATCGTGCGCACCGCCCACGCCGACGAGGGCAAGTCCGTCTTCGTATCCGACAAGCTCGTCACGCCCTTCCACCCCTTGGCACGGCGCATGATTTCGATATGTAAATGATCTAATGAGTGTTTGATCAATCACAGAGTGCCAGGGAGTGACCATCTTATCACCGCTCGGGGTCGCACGCATGCCCGATGGGAGCGACCTTTACCAATTCCGTCTTGCCAACACGTCCCGGATCCATGTATTGGGTATTAAATATCGGTTTTCTAACTGATGCACATATTCATCCATCTTCGGGTCGAGTCGGCGACCGGGGCTTACCAGGGCCGATTTGCTGGGACATGAGGGAGGGGTCAATTACCTAGCGTGCCAAGGGCCCTTACTACTTGTAGATAATCATATCAGCACCGGATGGTACGGAGTTCGTCGCATCATTCGTTCATTCGTATCCCTCGCTTTGCCAGAGAGAACAACCAAGACGCAATCCCGGCTGCCTGGCGAATCGCATTGGTCTCTGGACAGCCCTCAGCCCACCAGTGCCACAGATTCGTCGAGTCAACGATTTTCAGAGCTCCGCCAGCTTTGCTGCCGTTGAACAGCTGTCGCCCCCCCCCCCCCCCCAGCCCATTGTCTCTGCTACCTATTGGCGTAGGCATACGCACTTGTGCGGTTGACGTCAGCTCATGGGCCTCTGAGCTACGGAAAGCTAGTATCCTCAGCCCAGCCATATTAGGGGCTGGCCGCCGCTTCTCATCCCATTCCGATTTTCTTTCTTGCGGCATTGCATTGATTGATCTGATCCTTCAGTTTTCAATTCTTTCGGACTGCATATCCAAAAATATGAAGTTCGCCGCTCCGCTTCTATGCCTGGGCGTGGCCAACGCTTTTGTCCTTCCGGACGCCAAGCCCTTCCTCAGGCCCGGATCCGAGGATGACCAGCAGTGGTCGTTCTGGGACAAGCTGCCCTCCAAGGAGTCGGTCGTCTCCACTTTCAAGAATGCTGCCGACACTGTCACCCTCGACAACCTCCTCGAAGCTGTCGATCGGACCTGGAACGCAAAGGACTCCCTTCAGGGGCTCTTGGAGGACGGCTTCGACGATGACTTTGACGCGTTCGATGAGTATTTTGACGAATTTGACGATGAGTTCGATGAGTTCGACGAGTTCGACGATGACTTCGATGACGGGTCAGATGGTGACTTTGAAGAGTTTGACCACCCTCACGGTCCAGGCCATCGCCGGCCCCACAAAGGGCACAGATGCAACTTGACCGTCTACGAACTCATCTCCAAGAGCAAGCACACCACCAAGTTCGCCAAGCTTGTCGACGAGCACGACGACATCGTCAAGCTGCTGAACAGCACCGAGGCCAACTACACCCTCTTTGTCCCTGTCGACGAGGCTTTCGAGCATATTCCCGACGACAAGAAGCCAAGCAAGGAGTTCATCGAGGCCGTCCTCAGGTATCACGTCGGTGTCGGCCTGTACCCTGTCCGCCGCATCCTGGCCACCCACACCCTGCCCACGGCCTACCGTGAGAGCTGGCTCGATGACAAGCCTCAGCGCCTTCGCACCAGCGTCAGCCTTTCTGGTCTGCGTGTCAACTTTTACAGCAAGGTCATTGCATCCAATGTTGTAAGCACTAATTACCATCATAATGCACAACAACTATGTTTCCCTGTCGACTCCGAGCTGACGCATGCATGCAGGTTGCAAAGAACGGCATCATCCATGCTGTAAACCACATTCTGGTTCCCCCACCCATGGTTGGAAAGGAGATTAGTCTGTTCCCCAGCGTCTTCTCCACCCTCCTCCTTGCCTACGAGAAGACCGAGTTTGTCAAGTTCATCCACAACGTCAAGATGAGCGGCAGCACTGTCTTTGCCCCGTCCAACGGTGCCTTCGCGAAGCTTGGTGTCCCCGCCAACGCCTTCCTGTTCAACACCGAGGCTGGTCTCAAGTACCTCAAGGCGCTGCTCAAGTACCAGATCGTCGCCAATGCCACCCTCTACAGCGACGCCTTCTACGAGGCCGGCAAGGACAAGGACACCGACATCGGCTCTGGCCACCACCACCTGGATCTGGCCACTCTGCTCGACGACAAGAGCATCGCTGTTGACATCGCCCGCTGGGGTGGCTTCATCCGCATGCGCCTCAACGGCTACGTCCGCGTCGGGCTCCAGGACGGCATTGCCAAGAACGGCGTCATTCAGGTCGTCGACAGCGTGCCTATCCCGCCTCACAAGCACCACGGCGACGAGGGTCTGGAAGACGGCCAGATCACTGTGGAGGAACTGAAGGAGAGGCTTGCCGGCTTCCTGGATGATGAGGAGCAGCAGCGGGATGAGGACAAGGAAGATGTTGATGACATTGCTGTTGAGCTCTAAACAAACTGGCCCAAGAAATATAACTACGCGATATTGTGCAGTAACGGGGAGTAATGTGTCTTTATATAGCATCTTAAAAGTCCCTCTCTGATATAAATTCTCAATTCTATGAAGAAATCTCACAGCCTTATTAATTCTAAAGTTTCCTAGCATCTAGCCTCTCCTCCTTGATTCCTCTACACTTCTGGCTATCTCTCCTAGCTACATAAACTAGTTAGGATAACTACTATATCCTGCTAGAAACCCTATTACTAGTAACCTCTCTATCTAGTCACACTGAACATGATGTCGACAGTCCCGCGATACCGCACAGCGAGAAGTGATTGCAGCATGTCAGATATCCTGAGAGTCTGAGATGCAGATAGCCGGGATTTCGTGATAATTTCAATCTTTCGGTGATCCTCCGCGTTTTGCGTGGCGCGGCCGACAACGCTGACAAATTTCCACGAGAATGATCATTCTCGCACCCCCCGAAGGCCCCTACCGGCGCAAGACTAATGCAACTTTCTTAAAAACAAAAACATATCTCTCTATAAAAATCACAGGATTTAAAAGCTCAGCATTCAAGCCTTAAAAACGCTTTGTTATAATTCAAATTAGCTTAGGATTGGCAGTTAGGAGGTTAGGGTTAGTGGTTAGTATTGGGGTTATGGTTTGGGTTATCTGGGATGTGGACCTTTAATGATAAGGCCATGGTATATGACATTGGTTTTAGTGAGAGTTGTAGTGGAAGAATGATTCTTTTTTGTATGGGTGCAAGAGCAGCCTTCCGGGGGGAGAGGGGGGGTGCAAGAATATGCATTCTCGATTTCCATGGTTGCATTGCTTCCTTGATTTTCGGAAGTAATCCTTTCGAGAACTCGGCCCAGAAGGTGGCTTCGGCTGCGGGAAGACATGCGCGGCCTTGTTCGGCCAGAACGTCTGCCTCGCATTTTTGTTTGGGCATGATGCACAGAAAACACAGAATATCTGCCTCGCATTTTTATTTAGGCATAATGTATAGAAAACACAGAATGTCTGCCTCACATTTTAGTTCGGGCATGATGCACAGAAAACACAGAACGTCTGCTTGCATGTTGGTTTGGGTATGATGCATAGAAAACACAGAACGTCTGCCTCGCATTTTTGTTTGAGCATGATGCACAGAAAGCATAGAACATGAAGTGCATGTTTTGACAGGTAAGGATATGGTGGAAAGCTTCTCGTAATACTGCACTGCACTGCACGTATTCACTATAGATGTTGCCCTTCACGACTGCGCGATTGCTGTTAGATAGTGACTTGTGAGTCGTCCGATACCTTAGTCCTAGCCTGTACTCATTTACCACTTTATGGCCACACCGTAGATGGCGGTGATTCTGGCTGAAGGCCTATTCAAACTCGGCAAGTGTTGAATCAATGTTGGTTGCTAGAAGAGCTGGAATAGTTACACTCTGGGAACTGTTAGTTGATGAAATATGTGCAACTCGACCAATTATTAATTTAATGTCCTTGCAGTAATGGGCTTATACATGTAGATCAACCAGACTAGACAACTGTGACTGTATATGCATCCTTTCCATCCCAATCTTTCCAAAATTTCTGGTCAATCTTGGAGTCCTTCCATATGCCTTCCCTCAGCTGTGTTAGGCTTCTAAACTTCAACTGAGCCCAGTCTGCCCAGTCTCTATCCATTTTGCCTCTAGCAATCTCGAAATACCCGACCCTAACAAACAAGCCCGGCTCATCGGTGATCTCCGGAGTATCTCCGTGAGATTCTTTCCATGCCGGCGCCAGTAGCAACCCGCAGTCAACAGGCAGCCGGTCGGCCCACGGAAAGCGTAGGTCTGCATCCGCAACTTTGAGTGCAAAGATGCGACAACCTTGCGGCAAAGTTCGGTCAAATAGCATAGTGCACGGATAGCTCGCCTTCAAGCCTTTGCCTGTGAACACAACCCGAGGGCTTCTGTCGAGCAGTCTCCATCGCCAGATTCTGGGTTCGGTTCTCCTCGTTATATCTCGCCAAAAACCGCGGTGTAAGGGACCGAGATCATATCGTGTAACTCGGCGCAGGCGAACTTCTGTGAGAGGACCCCGGATCGAAAGAGCTGCGGAAGGTAACGCTTCAGATGTCATGGACGAGTCGAGAGCGGCATTGTTGGTCGAACGCCTGGGCGGGGTGGATATGGAGTTGATGTTGATGGAGATATGAGGTTCAGTCTGAGCCCGAAAGAGGAAGTTAAACTTGACTTGAGAATGGGTGGATGCCCATGACCAGCTAGGCATCGACGAGATCCTGCCTCGTGTCATCTTCTCCTCGCAGTACCACAGCAGGAACAGTGGAAGGTTCGGTACCCGCCAGAGTCCTGTCAAGTAATGTTCTTTGGGTATGATGGTAGCCATCTGCTCTGCAACACCCTCGATAGCCACAAGCTTGTCGCTCTCCTTGGAGAGCTTGCCGACGCTATACTGGGCCACGACGGAAGCCCAAACATAGACGAACTTCTCATCGACCTCGGCTTGTGACAATTCGTTCGCTCCCCTATCGCTTGCCAGAAGACTTGTGTATACATGCTTGAAGCGGCCATCCTCAACACTCTGCACTCCCTCGGGTAGCCTTTCGGCAACATCAAAGCTTTTGTACCGATACTTCAGGTCCCAAGGCCCACCGTCTGGGTAGAGCTCCGAAGCATATAGCTCGCCGCATTCCCAGAACAGCATGTTGTGAGTAAAGAAGACTGTTCCTCGAGATAGAAGACGCTCCTGAAAAGCCCACGCGCGGCCCAACAGCGGCGATTGAACTACTGCTTTCAGCCACGGGTCTTCGGGTACGACTCGGAATGAACCCTCTAGATCAAGGGCAGGCCATTTGAGGTCCATCTGCGTGCCATTGATCGCAGTAGGGTTGCGCCTGCGAAAGAGCCCCCCTTCGGCATCATTTGATGCTGCAGCGGCGAGTGTGATGGCCGAGTACGAGTACACCTTTGCCATTGTCATGGACTCCCGAGCCCAATCGTCTAGCGAGTCTTGAATAATGCAGAGGGAGTCCACCCACAGATATCGAAGGCCAAGACGCCACGTTGCTGTGACCGCGTCGCGGAATGTGGCCGGTAGGACCGGGATAGATACCCCGGTCATTTTCAGGTCCTGCAGGTTAGACCCAGTGAGTTTGATGAAGGAAGGGTTTGGACCCCAACAGTAGCTGAGTGCCGCATATTTGACTTCGACGCCGCTGCAATCGACCTTAGCAGTCTCCTCTACGAGGATAGACGTCGGTTCTGCACCTTCTGAGGCAATGACCTTAACAAGACGCGTCGGAAGCCAGTCGGCATCCTCAGCTCTTCTGGCATGCAACTTGTTGCATAGCCGGTGGCTTTGGGAGCAGTTCTCAATCCAGCGAGATAGACAGTCAAAGCTAGCGTCACTGTTCGTGTTCTTCGATGAGTGGTCAATAGGCCTGACACACTGCACTCGAGGGTCTGTTGTTGTTAGTTGTAACGTCCTTAAGTAACTTGTGGTCTTGCCAGTTCCCGTTAAGTATCACGCAAACTCACCGGAAGTCTCAAAGAGTCGCATGGCAGAGCCGTCCCTCCCCAACTCATCATCCCTGTACCTCTGTAGTCTGAGCTCAGCTGATCTGTGTTCTTGATAGTCATAGCCGTGATACCGCCAACTACATATCAACGGCTCGTTGACATAGCCAGGACGGGGTTTGTGGGCGTCTTGATTGGCGAAGGACACGGAATCAGGTCTACCCGAGATCTGGAGGATCTGGTCTTGGGCGGCGAATCCGAGAGCGAAGGCGCAAAAATCGCAGTCAGTTATGGACTCGGTGATGTCAGCAAGGTCCTGGGCATTCCCCGACCAGCCCCTGAACGAGTCCCATGGCCGCTCGTGGAAAGGGGCGAAGCCGCAGGCCCAGGAGAATTCCCGAACCGCATTTGGCGAGGTGAATGATGCTTGGCAAGCTCTACAATGCTTGGAGGCTGATTGCGCCATGGTCTCTAGGCAATTGGACTGAAAGATGAGTTTCCTGAGGGGGATTTTCTGGGTGCAGATTGTGATTTTAATTGAACGAGTGTGGGTCTGCGTCTGACACAACCCCTGCCAGATATGACGATCTGACTCGGTACGTAGTACAACGTGAATTCCCCTTGGAGAACCTGCTGTAAAGTTCATAAAATGTTGAAATACCGGCATTGCGTGTGACCGTACACCCTCGCCCAAGCTGTGTGGTTACGGACCGGGGCGGGCTGCGGACAGTGGGCGACCCGATGCCTCAATTGCAGCATATTCTCAACCTCAACGAACGGTCCACCCCAGAACTCATACACGTGTATAGACCTGCCAGGCATGTTTATGTTGACGTTCAGCCTATGATCCAGTTGTCAAAACGGCAAATTGTCCTGACTAGACAAGCCGGCAATTGCTCCGTCTGGAACAACCCTCCAGGTTCGTCATCGGCGCATCATACTTCGCAGCGTCTCAGATCGGCTCAATGAAACTAATAATTGAGGAGCCTACTGAGCAAGAGCTGCTACACGGTGACCATATAAGGTCATTTTATTCAACTAAACCCTGCGAAGTCTTAGATCGCCGATTCAAGACAATTTCCAAACCTGGCTGTACCAATGCATGTCCTTGCCCTTCCTCCTGAGTGCTAGCCTCGGGGACGCCTGTTGGGAGGAAAGGGAAGACCGGGACCGCCAAGTACAGAGTCACAAGGAAAGGGACACGAACAGACGTCTTTGGCAGTCAATTGCGTTGTCAGCCCCATCCAGAATCTTCTTGCCGAAGCTGAGAAGCAGCTCGCCCACTATAAAACTTTCAAAAGATTTCTTAACCTCCTAGGTTATCCAGAGTGAGGCTTAAAGCCCACATATTCGAACTCTCTCAGCTTCGACTCAAGTGTCATGTTGCCGCAATGAATAGCGACATCATGCGACTGATTCTTGACGAGTAGGTTCCGATCGGGCGCCAAAGCGAAGCCATCAGTGTCAGAGAAAATGATGAAACGAGTTGTACTACGTTCGGCGGTCACCACAGCCGCGAACGAGTCCGAACATCCGACCATATGATGAAGAGTTTCAAAAGACAAGAGAAAATATTAACAGCACGAACGACATAAGTATGCGATTCCATCAGAGCTGTGTGATCTTGGCAGTTCTTGGTACTAGGAGAGGATCTGAGTCTATTAACCGAAGGCGAAAACTTAAACATAGACATGTATCGTTCACCTAGACTCTTTAAGTGAGCAGTAGAACAAAACAACTCAAGTCATGACTACAACCGCGCCTTGCCTCTACCTGGAGCCGACTCAAACTTTGACCTCCATTTCTCTTCCTGCTTGAACAGGACGATACTCTCCAGAGCAGTCGGAGCTCCGTAGTCCGGATCAGCTCCACCCTCGAGCAGTGCCTTTGGCATCATTAGCGACTTTCCCCAGGATTAGACAATGTCTGGCTGCAAACGCACCTCGACAACTGCATCCTCCGCTTTGAACACAGCACCAGCCAATGGACTTTGCCCTCGGTCGTTGAGCCGGTTCGGGTCGGCGCCATGCCGGATCAGAAGCTTGACCAGATCAGCGTGGCCGTGGTAGGCAGCCAGCATGAGCTGCCAAAGCTTGGTTAGCGGACAGATCAGGCAAGGCAGCTGAGTTGTGACACGTCGTATCCTACCAGAGTATCGCCCTTCTCATTGGTCATGTTGGCAGGCAGACCGGCCGGGAGAGCCTGCTCGAAAATCGCCATGTCGCCTTCCCGAGCCGCGTTGTACATCCGGGTCGCGAGTGCAATGGCCTCGGGCGGGAGGGGCCCAGACCCAGGAGCGGTGCCATTGGGAGGGTCCATCTTGATTTCGTTATTCTCTCGTAGAGATATTCTTCTCCGAAAGGTGTAGAACGATGAGTGCATGTGTTGACATTGACCTGCATCTACAAAAACTATGATTGCATAGCGGGGCATAGCTGATGACGTAATCTTTTCACATTTGAATGTCACGACAGGACCAAGATATTCAGATTGGATTTCATTTTCTGTGCTTGATATGGAATACTGCCATATTTGTATCATATCTCTGAGCACCTGCTGGCTTTTCTACCAAAATAAACGCGTGGTCACTGGGCCGAGCACCTCAACGTTAAACACGACTAGTCACCTCGGGAGGTAGGGATGCCTCAAGACGCGTTTTATTCTCGTTGTTTTGAGCGCCTCTCACTCGGTAATATCATACCCTAACGATGCTAACTCGGATGGCCTGATGGTTTTCAATGCTTTCCGCTCCCAAAAAAAAAATGCTTATTCCCAAATCCCATATTGTAGCCGCCAAGATGTTGAACTTGGCTGGTCTCACCTCAACGCCTCGATCCGCAAAAACCTGATGAAAGTTCTGCATGCTTTCCTCTCTCCTTCCCACTCTACGCCAGGCGCTTTGCACCTCCTGACCGACCAAAGAAGAGTTTTGCTACTCCAGCCCCCCACCGTCACCCAATTCCCTTCATAAACTTGTCTCTCTTTTTACACACGTCTAGACACCCGTTTAGACAGAGGTGTCCTCGCCCCAGACCTGCTTGGCGATCTCGACGTTGAGGCGGACCTTGGCCCACTGCTGCTCCTCGCTCAGCTCGTTGCCCTCGACGGTGGAGCTGAAGCCGCACTGGTGAGACAGGCACAGCTGGTCGAGGCCCTTGGGGCAGAACTTGGCGGCCTCGTTGAGGCGGTTCACGATCTCGGCCTTGTCGTCGAGGTCGGCCTTCTTGCTGCTCATGACGCCGAGGACGACGACCTTGTGCTCGGGCAGGAAGCGCAGCGGGGAGAAGTCGCCGGAGCGGGCGTCGTCGAACTCGAGGAAGTAGACGTCGACGTTGAGCTTGCGGAAGAGCACCTCGGCGACGGGCTCGTAGCCGCCCTGGGCGAACCACTGGGAGCGGAAGTTGCCGCGGCACAGGTGGATGCCGATGACCATGTCGGCGGGCTTCTTGGCGACGGCGGCGTTGATGAGGGCGGCGTACTGCTCGGTCAGCTGGTTGGCGTCGCCGTGGCGCTCCTCGGCCTGCTTGCGCATGTTGGGGTCGCACAGGTAGGCGAGGTTGGTGTCGTCGAACTGCACGAAGCGGCAGCCGGCCTTGTACAGGTCGTCGAGCTCCTCCTGGTAGACGCGCACGAGGTCCTCGAAGAAGGGCTCCATGGTCGGGTAGGCGGCGCTGTCGATGGTGTCGCGGCCGCCGCGGAAGTGCACCATGGTCGGGCTGGGGATGCAGACCTTGGCCGTGACCTTGTCGGTCAGGCCGGCCTGGGCGATCTGGGCCTCGAGGAACTTGAAGTCGTCGACCTGGATGGGCTTGGGGTGGCCGAGCTTGCCCTTGACGATGAGCCGGGGCGGCGTCAGGCCGTGCTTGGAGATGTTGGTCGAGCTCATGTTGCCCTCGTAGACGACGCCCGACAGGTGCTGCAGGAAGTCGACGTGGAAGAAGGCGCGGCGGAACTCGCCGTCGGTGATGGAGCGGATGCCGTTGTCGATCTGCTTGCCGACGGCGGCGGCGATGTGCTTGTCCTCGACCTCGCGCAGCTGGGCGGCCGTCAGCTTGCCGTCGGCGGCCTGGTCGCGCGCCGACAGCACCTCGGCGGGCCGCAGGAAGGAGCCGACGTGGTCGGCGCGGTAGACACCACGAGGAAGAGGCATGTTTGCTTGGTGGTGGTGGTCTGGTCTTGGAAAGTTTCTAGGAGCCAGGAGGTGTTGCTTGAGTGAGTGTCTACTTTTCGGTCGAGGACTAAGTACACGACAGACAACAAATAACAGAAAGATACACCGGCTGCCCCGAGAAAATTTGCCAAAGTCGGCAATAAGCTCTTTTAAGGGTTCATACAGACAAACCAATCGATGTGGGGTAGAGGGGGTATGTAGGATAGCTCCCCCGACATGGGAAACACATATGCCTGCATGTGAGTGCAGTGAGTGTGTGAGTGTGTGTGTGTGTGGAGCCGAAATGTGGTGATGGGTGCAGGTGAGCAAGACAGCTCTACTCCTAGGTGACACGTTTTGACACAGCGACAGGCCCATCAGCGCCCATCAGCGCAGCAAAGACGGCCCACCGTTGGTCTGATGTGCCTCATTAGCCTAGCCGGAGAGGGGTTCTAGGCGGACCCGTCGCGGCTGGTGAGAATGGGGCGCTAAGCTAAGCGTCGGTAGAGCTGGCGGTCCTCGCACCAGATGCTCGGGATCTGGCCGCCCTTGCGGGTTAACATTGCGCCACGGCTGACAGCGGGGGCTTCGAGCCTGCGATCTAGTCCGGCATATGCATTTGCCATAGTCATCGAGGCCCAACTACGACGAAAGAGAAGTGCAACAGCTCATGAATGGCATCAAGAGAGAGCAGGAGTCAGGGCCTGTGACACTTTGTGTAGTCAAAAGAGGAAAAGGAGGGTGTGGACGAGTCTGGCCCGTGTGGCATAATTCTTTGCCCATGAATCGAAGGTTTGCCGGACCGGTTCCAACGGAAGCCCTCCGTAAGCGGGGCCGAAGGCTCGGTAATCGCTTGGTAAGGATCCCGGCAGGGCGATGTGAAGGTTAAACAGCCGCGGAGACGTTTATGAAGCGGGAACAACCTTGCAAGTGCGATAGCAGCTCGACCTATCTGTTCTTGGTTGAAGCTGCGGCTGCACAGCTTTTGGCCCATGACGTGTGGTGCATCCACGTTTGATATGTGGGACATGACGTTTTCTTTACGCAGCCCTCCAATCCGACCAGCTATTTGACGAGCGTTGCCTCTCTTCTCAGCAGCCAGCTGCCGAACTGCAATCGGCTAGAGAGTTATGTTGCGTAGAATACTTGGAAGAAGCTAGGTCAGGGCATTATGAAAGCCTACAGAGACTATTGGGAATAACAAAGCGGCGCCACGTGCTGGAAACTTGATCGGTAATATTTAAAAATCCGGCAGTGCGATCACTCTTGGAGGAAATAAACAGTACCTCTGTCGAGAATAGGCCAATATTTAGTCTGCAACCTGCCCCCATAGTTGGTTTCCAAAAACGGTAACCAGCCAATGTCTCTCAATCCTAAGACACCTCAATCGAGTCTGTTCTGCTGAGGGAGCCAAACACAAATACAATAGGGAGACAACCAGAGGCGGAAAGATAGATAGGCCAATAAATCCTTGAATGATGGTGCTCGATACTCGTAGCTCTTGATGTTTCTCGTGTGTCTTGTCGTCCGCTACTTGAAGGGAATACGCACTAACTTGTGTACCTAATACAAGAATGCCTACACAGCTACTAACCATCTTTGTCACAACTTGAAGCTCAAATTTGGCGCAGACAGCCGGTATTTTATGCGGCTTGCACCTTTCATGGATCAGCTCCTGAACGCCGTCAACTCCAGGCTGGAAACGCTACGCATCTGTAGCTGCACCCTACTAATTAGCTTTACCGTTTCAAAAAGACTGGTTCCTTGGCCTTTACAACTCGGGCTTGCTGCCCAACTTCCGCTGCCTCAGCTTCGTTGCTAATGCCAAACCGGACACACAACTCCCGCATATCACAGTTGCATATCACAGCCCTGCACAGGGGGGGCACGGGCTTTTGTGAGCTCCTGCAGCCAGGACATTGCTGAGGTAACGAGGCTGACCAGTTGGCGGGCTTTTGGTGCGACGCATTCCCCAAGACGGGTAGGACTGAGTTCCGCGAAAGAGGCATTGATACAGTTGTCTGAAGTGTGATGACTCTGCCATGTCAAGGAAGCAGAAAGCTTGAGTGATAGAGCTCGAATTAGAATCAAAGGGGCAGGAACAATGCTACGGGAGGAGAAGAACCCCCCCTAAACCTAGCAAGCTCAGAATTGATATCAACACCAAAGATTATTACTTACATATTGTGTTAGTCCCAGCGAGACACCCGTGTTGAATCGCCGCAAAACGTGGGCAATTCCCTGGACTTGTTCTGCTCTCCAGGGATGGCCGTATGAGCCTCTTCCTAAACCTTCCCAATATATGACCTGGACCATGAAAGATGTAACGGCATCAACTGCTTTTTTCAAAAGGGTTAAGCCATGTCCGTATTCTCGGTCAGTCATGCAAGCCATGACTGTCACTAGCAAAGAGGAACTGGAGCCGGCACTATCACGCCTGGGATAGGATCAGAAATCTGCGGCATGGTTCTGCATTACCCCAATGATATTTAATGCTCCAGCCCACCGAATACTACTCCGTATCAGGTGTTGCATCGCATCCCCAGAACCCCAGATGGGAAAGCCTCGGCTGATACAGTCCCAGTGGGACCCCTTTGCCCGACACGGGGGAGTTCGCTGCAGGGGTAGGGCTGAGACGTATTGGAATACGCTTGTCGCGGGGAACAGACAATTGCATTGCCGTGCGGGATGCGGTTCCTCTTCAAAATCGCCCTATTTGATTCACTTGCCCATGTTCCTTGTCGACCAAGGACAAATTAGGAACAGCTAGTCAGAACACCGACTAAGTAAAAGCATAAGATGCGACGGATCCGAAATTCGGACTCTGTGATGGATTCGGTGCCGCATGCTAGTCAGTTATCAGGTGGAGAGGGCGGGTCGCACCATCGTCTGATAACATGATGTGACGAACGACCGTCCGGGCAACCGTCACGGGGCTAACTAAATCTCCTGACAAGTGATATCTTGCTTATTACAAAAACATTCTCTCCATTCTTCTAGAACAGGCACACCAAACACACTCTATCTGTAACACCGACGTAGGAAAGCATATTCACAATGGTGCCGACGACCACATTGCTGAGAACCGGGGCCGTCCGGACGCTGCGGCCAGTCAGCCGGAGCACCGTGGCGCTGGCACGCTCGGCCCGGGTGACCGGAAGGCAGTTCAGCTCCAGCCAGCGCTCGCTCTGCGCCAACTGCGCAAACAAGTCGTGCGCCCGCCACAACAACACCAGCAATCGCGTGAGGAGCAGCGCCAGCACCATCGCCAACACCGCCGCCGTCAAGGGCAGCAACGTCGCCAAAGCGGCGGCCGCCTATGCCACGGCAGCAGGCCCCGCCATCCCGACCGAGCAGTGGGCGCAGGTTCTGGAGGAGAAGGGTGGAAGTGAGTAGGACCCTTCTTTACTAGCTGCGCGTGCGCGCAGCGACCTCCGCGATTTGCCCAATGTCTAACCATGACTCAATCGAAACAACAAACAGAGGTGCAGTATAAGAAGATCCCCGTGCCCAAGCCGGGCCCGGACGAGGTCCTCATCAACATCAAGTACAGCGGCGTCTGCCACACGGACCTGCACGCCGTCAACGGCGACTGGCCCCTCGACGTCAAGCTGCCGCTCGTCGGCGGCCACGAGGGCGCGGGCGTCGTCGTCGCGCGCGGCGAGCTGGTCCACGACGTCGAGATCGGCGACCACGTCGGCATCAAGTGGCTCAACGGCTCGTGCATGAGCTGTGAGCAGTGCCGCCAGTCCAACGAGTCGCTCTGCGCCGAGGCCGCCCTCTCCGGGTACACCGTCGACGGCTCCTTCCAGCAGTACGCCATCGGCAAGGCCGCGCACGTCGCTCGCATCCCTAAGGAGTGCGACCTCGCTGCTGTGGCGCCCATCCTGTGCGCCGGCCTGACCGTCTACAAGGCGCTCAAGTCGTCCGGTGCCCGGCCCGGGCAGTATGTGACCATCGCCGGCGCCGGCGGCGGTCTTGGCTCCTATGCCATCCAGTACGCCAAGGCCATGGGCCTGCACGTCATCGCCCTCGACGGCGGCGACGAGAAGCGCGAGAGCTGCTTGAAGCTCGGAGCCGACACCTTCGTGGACTTCAAGACGTCTAAGGACACCGTCGCCGAGATTCGCGCCGCCTCGGGTGGAGCGGGCCCGGATGCTGTGCTCCTCCTGGCTGCTAGCGAGAAGCCCTTCCAGGAGGCGAGCCAGTACGTCAAGAGCAAGGGCACTATTGTCTGCGTTGGTCTGCCGGCCAACGCCTTCGTCAAGGCACCCGTTTTCGACACTGTCGTCCGGTACGTGAGAGAGAACTGCATGAACAAGATTCTTTATTGTATGTGTTGGCTGACTTGATGTGACAGCGAAATCAACATCAAGGGAAGCTACGTCGGCAACCGGCAAGATACCGCGGAAGCTCTCGACTTCTTCAGGCAGGGATTCATCAAGGCACCCTATAAGTGAGTTACTTATTGATCAGGACCCCAGGGAATTCATCGCTGACTTTGACGCTTCAGGATTGTCGGCTTGACAGAACTCCAGAAGGTGTACGATTTGATGCAGGAAGGAAAGGTTACTGGCCGCTATGTTGTCGACACTAGCAAATAGTGTTCTCAGAGCTCATGAAGAGCAGTGTACTAACTATGTCTGAACTTGATCGCAACGGCCTTGTCGAGAATTAAAAACGGCACCACTTGAGTCTACAAATTGCATTTTTGAGTGTGACTTGATGCCTCGATTCTATCACTGGACGTTCTTGCTAACAGCAGTCACCCACGTGCCGTCAACACTGAGACGTTGGTATACTAGACTATTAATGGGAGCATCTCCGAAATTGAGCACAAACGAGCCATCCTGTTTGCCATTCGCCTGTATCGATGTGGCTTGGACATCACCAGGGAGACCAATAACTCTGTTGGAGCCCTCGGTAAGATCAAACCACGCGCCGGGTTTCGAGACAACCCGGACGGTATATTGCCGCCCGGTGGCGTCACAGCTGGATACCATCTTGATCGGATACGTGTTCTCTGGCAAAGGCTGATCGAGTGGGGTGAGGTGCATGCTGAGGGCGTCGTTAGTGCCGAATCTAATGTCCGAGGTCTTCAGCGTCATCCGCGTCGTGTAGATAGCCCGCCCGGCTGTCGTACTATTGCGTGCATGGTGAACATAAAACAGCTCCGAGCCTTCCGGGGTCCGAAGGGTGACCTCCTGCGCCCCGACCTTCTCTTCGGCATTGCGCGGCGGAGAGGCAACGATACTGCCGTGTCCAGTGGAGTAGACGGGAATGGCGGCATCCGGGAGCTGGGACAAGACCGGGTTGCTGGATGACTTTTTGAACGGGCCAAACGGTGACTCGGCCGAGGCAAACCCGACTCCATAATTGGCAGCTTCGAAGTTGTTGGCGCTGTAAGTCAACAGGTAGACAGGCTTGCCGTCCGCGCCAGGCCGTCGGATGATCGCGCTGCCTTCGGACCAACGCCGGTCCTTCTTGGTGCCATTGTACTTTTGATAGTCGTCGACGTGGTAGTTCTCCCACGCCTGCGGGTCAGCGCCGTACGAGATGACTGTCTTCCAGCCATCTTTCCTCGGAGGACGTGCAACCTCGCCCGTGCCATTGTATGACTTGATATTGCAGGGCAGCTTAGGAGCATCTTTGGCATGCAAGTCGATTTGGGACTTCTCAATCTCGGGCATGGTCGATGCGGTTGGATCGTCCCACCACTCACGCGACATCTCAACCATGATGATGTTGGATTCCTCGATGTACTTGCCCAGAGTATGGTCCCAGTTCCAGTTTCGGTACGCGTTCCGGGATGCATAGAGGTAGATGCGGTCATCCTCATCGAAGAGAAGGTTAACATCGATGGTAGGGATGAATGTGCCTTTCGGGGCCTTCTGACCCTCTTCCAGGCTCTGCGGCGGCAGCATCTGCTTCTCGTCCATGATGAGGTTGACATCGTGGTAGTCTGGGTCAAATGGGTACCAGTCAATCGGTCTTGACTCAATCTCCCTGAAAGGCCCGGTTGGCGAGCGCGACACTGCGACGCCAATCTTGGAAGGCTCTTCGAACTTGGAATAGCGGAAGTACTCGGCGGTCTTGTTCTCGAGCAGCCGGCCGGCGAAGAAGAAGAAATACCATCCCGTCTTCTCGTTGTAGTACGTCTCGGGAGCCCAGAACCAGTCGCGAGCCCAGCATGCCTGCCCACCCTCGATCGGGTTCATCTTGCCATCGTAGCACGCCTTCAGCACGCCACCAGGGTGCTTATGCCAGGTGGAAAGGTCCGGGCTGCTGTAGATGGCGAAGTGGTACCCATTGTCGGCACCTTCGGTCGAGTACACGTAGAACTGGCCGCTGTTGGAGTCGTAGAACGCGTAGGGATCCGCAGCTACGTGGCGAGCCGAGTTGTAGAACTGGGGAACTTGGCTGTCACCAGCACCTGTAGGAACTGCCATCACGGTGGAAGGCAGCATAGCAAGGCCTGCTAATACACCAGGGGCACGCATCTTGATAACAAGACCTGACTTCAATCAAGGAACAATGTTGCGGCAGGCAACCGAGCTGAGAGGCCGGCACGATGAACCTCACAGCCATCTGGGAAATTGTTGACATCTTATGCAATGGCCGGCGTTTCTCTCGGTGCTCTCTTCCCCACACCTCGCGGCTTAGACACATCATTCACCGAATTTGGGGCGGATGCGGGGTTGGGTGTGCTTGTCCCTGTCCCAATGCTACCTCCGGACCCACCAGCTCATCGTGAGAACTCGTTGATCCTGCGGCACAACATTGAGCTAAGAACACAGCTATCCCAGCAAGGAAGCTGGCTATGATATGTGCTGGTGGTACACCCATTTGAGGTCACGAATGGCCGCTGTTCAAGAAATCATGCCCTTGTTCCTTGAGACACTCAGAACGACCCGGTTCCATCGCCACACACATAGCAAAGCAAACTGCAAAGAGCTCATGAAGCTTTCGCCTTTCTCAGACTTCATAATGGCCACGACTACGTGCTGAAGGGTAAAGAGCATTTTGGAGCTGGGGTTGATGGTATCCCAGCCCATAGAGCTTGGGATAGTCGGATTGAACACGGCAACAGAGCAGGTCGTGATATAGCAACTATTGTACACAACTCCCGTCAAAATAGGCGTCCAAGGCTTCTCTGGTAATAGTCTAATCCAACCCTGCCTCACTGCTGTGATCGTGATTTATTGTAACAAAGAAAAAGCTTGCACAAGTAAAAGCGATTCAATCTGCTTTTGTAACAAAAATAACATACATGTACTGAAGAGAAGAAGAATGGCAGAAACAGATTCTGCAAAAGCACTCTCAGTAGCCCGGAGATGCCCGCCGAACCCGGAAAGGCTGTTATCGAGAGGGTCTATTCGAAGAAATCTGGAGGGGCGTGGGGATGACCGTGGCCAGGATACCGTCCTGGCATGAAGCCGCAGGAGAAGGGATCGGGCATGTCAGGCAGGTCAGTCGTCTCGGGATCGGCAAACGACACTTCAGGAACCGGCTGGGAAGATACTGCTGTGCTCACCACCGGAAGCTGCGTGGCGGTACCTACAGAGGTTAACACCTCGGTGGTACGGCTCGAAACACCGCTGGTAAAGACAGAAGTTGTGTTGTAGTAAATGCCAGTCGATCCTGGAAGACGACCAGATGGCACGCCTGTGCCCCTAGAAGCCGGGACTACCTTGGTCTGAGTCGTGTAGATCGAGTCACTTGTGCAATTGAGCTGGCTGGCAACAGCCTGAACGGAAGACAAGGCTTTGGAAGGCCTGGTAATAGTTCTCAATGTAGACGCCGTCAAAGATCTCACAACAGAAGTAGTCTCAGCGGTAGTCGTGTGGGTAGGAGCCGAGGTTGGCGACTGCTCCGAGTGAGGCAAGGAGGAGGAGCTGGACAAGATGGAGGAGGAGGAGGAGCTGGACAAGATGGAGGAGGAGCTTGAGCTGGATGACGAGATGGCCTCAGCTTTATTATTAGAGACTCCTCCTGCCTCCATCTTGACGGTGACAACACCGTGTGCCGGCACAGAGACTTGCAGCTTACCGCCGGAGAGTGAAGCTTGAGTATTTGCCATCTGTGCACTGTTGTCGGACGAGACAGCATCCACCACCCTGGACGGCTCAACGCCGGAAAAGCCGAATTCGATGCTGGTCGCGCCGGCACCAGAATTGGTGAGCACCGCTACGACACTACCATCGGTGTTCACAAAAGCAGCCGTAATCACATCAGCCACAGTTCCGGAGACCGCCACACGCTGGGCACCTGGGCGGATGTAGCGCGACCAGTGTGCAAAGGCCCAGAGACGACCGGAAGGGAAGACGTTGGTACCATCGCTGAGGACGAGGTACGACGCGTGCTTTTGTTGGTTCACCTCGAGACCTTCCCAGTAGAGGTAGGCCGAGAGGCCGGCGTCGACGATACCCTGTGCCAACCGCACCGACCAGGTAAAGCCCTCGCAGTCGCCGCCGTTGCTGTACCACGTCGTGCACCAGGGGTTGACCAGGTCGGCGGCCTCGGTGACCCAGGTCTTCAGACTGGTGCCCATGGGAGTTGTGGCCTGGTCAGAGTACGTGTGGGAGGTGATGACGCCTAGGTACTTCTCCATGCCGGCTTGGATGATGCTCTTGGTGTATGTCTGCTGGGCTTTCCAGCCGATGTCGTCGCAGCACGTCAGCTGGATGTGACCAAGGCCGTTGGACTCCAGCGTATTATGCATGATGGGGATCATCGACGCGGCCTGCTCCGGGCTGGCCAGCATGAAGTTCGAACCGTCAGGCTCGTTGAGGAAGCCGACATGGGTGATAGGGATGCCCAGCTGCTCATAGTTCTTGAGGTACTGAATGATGAGGTTTGCATACGCCTGCCGCCAGTCTCCCGAGGCACAGGTGGCGTCTGGGGTTCCGCATAGGCGGCCATAATCGACGGCTGTTCTCATGTACGACGGGGCGTTCCAGGCGTTGGCGTAAATGGCCTTCACTCCGTAGCTCATGGCCTGCTGGCTGAACCATACCTGGCCAGAGTCACTCCCATCCCAGACGTAGTGTGGAGTCGCAGACGGACTTCCAGGACTGTTGGGCTCGATACTGTCATACGCAGTGTCGCCCGAGGCGACTCGGTTGCGGATGATGGAGAAGCCTGCACCGCTGGTCGTGCTGAACAGATAGTCCAACCCCTGCTTCTGCGGGCCGGAAGCAAGGTTTTTGAACTCATCTGCGCGTCCGAATGCCTGCGAGATGCCAAAGCCATCCATTGTCTGCAACTTGGAGGTGACATCAATGGTCAGACTATTGGCAGCCAGGCCAAGTCGGCCCCAGACCGCTAGGCCAGACAAGATGGCAAATTGGTGTTTCATGGCGCTCGAAGTGAGATTGCTTGACTTGGCAACGAGCCGAAGTGGATGTGATAAGAGAAAAAGTAACACGCCAAGAGATAGAATGAACGACTGCAACTCCGGGCTGGAGGAGAAAGAGAGCGAAGCGAATGAGCCCAAAGACCCAGTACTAGCAAGGGCAGTAAAGAATTGAATTCAAAGGAGTGGATGATAGAAGATCAGGCAGAGAATGGAACAAGAGGGCTTGTCCGTCTGGACCTGTGTATGTTCAGAAGAACATGATTATGAAAATCAATGGTCCCTTCTAGCATGTCGAGGCCAGGACACTTTTATGTAGTGCCGGTCTTCAGTTTCTGCAGAAATGAAAAACCTGACAAGATTCTTCGTAACTACTCAGGGGCGAATCTCAACCCACTTCCCAATCTATCAGAAAGTTGTAGACTCCGAGTTGTCCGTCGTGACCCAACTTTCGATCCCCGTAGACAGATGGACCTTCAGGGGTCCTCTGCAATCACAGTTGCAAACTTGGTAAAGCGGCGTCTCCTTTACACAGACTAGGTCTCGTAGCCGCCGACCTGTGGGTTGTTCTGATCATGGCTCGCGGTTCGGTGGCACAACTCTCAGCAACTCCATCGGGTGCACCGTGCGCCTGAGAGCCGATATGGGAAGGTGGTCCCACTGATGCTGCAGATCCCGGCTCCATCCATCACCATGATCATCCATGTTTCTGAGTGGGCACTTCCATCATCTCCATTGATAGGTCCGGCAACAGCAACATATCAATCGCATTACCGGGACCCTGTACAAAGAATTATGCTCTGTCCAGGAGCTACTTTATTTGATGCGATATTCTCTGTTGGCGGCGTGGCGGAAACCCTGGAAGGGAGCGAGCAGGGGACTGACCAGGGTGAAATTGAAAATGAAAGGGGGAAAACGGGGCCTGTGGGGGATGTCAAGTCCGGCAGATAGATGGATAGCCAGGACACAAAGACACGAGGTCCAACATGCGGCTCTCAACGCTAGCTCTAGCGCCGCCGTCCGAGCTGTTTCGACTTAAGCTGGAGGCAACTAGGGCCCTCCTCTAAGCCAAAACCCGTCCAGGACAAGCAACTAACATAGTGTACTTTGGTTTCAGGTTGGGCGGTGTTGGAAAGCTTGTTAATTATTTCAGAGGACCCATGATCTCTAGGCGGTTATCACGCGAGGTGATCTCGACTCGAGACCACCAAAGAAGCCGCTGTTTCCATGCAAGTCTGGCCAAAGAAAGTAAATCCACCAATCTTGCACTGGCTTTCCCGCTCGTGCCACTCTGGTCAGGATGGTGAAGCCTTGATACCCACGAACTCTGGCCCAGGTCAGGCCCACCCGGTACCGCTGAAGAGCCAGCCGCACCAATCATACACCATTCCGTCGGCCTGGTCATCATCCTGGTCACTCAGTCCAGAACTAGGTACTGCAAGAGCCCTTCTGGCGAGCTTGGTATATCGACGACATGGAAAGGCTAACTTCTGGCCTGTTATGCAAATGAAAGGACGGGGCGGGTCGTCTGAGATCATGACAAGAATCCCGGACCAGCCGCCAGTATCAACTTTCTTGTTCATGCGTATGTCGTATATATAGAGTCGCAGTGTATCAGTCGAATGCTACAACTAGAGACGTTCGATAGGCCATCAGCTGCATCTCGCTGTTTCGTTCTTTTGCAGCTCCATTTCATCATTCGTTTTGCCTCATTAACATTAGTCGATCATTTTTTTTTCCATCACCTTCTTTCACCAATCTTACCGCAATGGCTCTGAAATACTTGGCATTGAACTTGCTGCTGCAAGGGCTGGCTCTCGCGGGCGACGGCTGCCCTGCGGTACGCCCTCCCGCGCCGATCTCCGAACCGGCCCCGCCAGCAGCAACTCCGGAGACGGCCAGCAGCACCGAGGCCGCCGTGCAGGTGTCAGCTGTGCCGACGACTTTCTCTGTCAGGGTCTCCCCCTCTGCCATGCCATCGCCCGATGCGCCCTCGACCGACACGACTGGCGTGGACTCGGTGTCTGTCTCGCCAACGATCCCTCCCGCCGCTTCCGGGACACTATCTGCCGCCGCGGAGAAGTTCACCGGCTTAGGTACTAGATACGGAGGCACTTGCACTGAGGAGGACTGCTGGAACAGCGGTGCTTGCAGCTTTGTCGGCTACAATCTCCCTGCCGGCATCGACGGTTCGACCTGCGTATCCGAAGACATCTGGAACAATGGCGCCAACTGCGGCGGCTGCATCTCGGTTACATACAAGGGCAAGACCATTACTGTCATGGTGAGTTCATCCTCTTGAGTCGAAGGGAAAACATCCAGCCCCGCATGCTAACAGGAACGCCAGGTTACCAACCTGACGGGCGGAAACGCGACGCACCTTGACATGACTCCCAGCACCTGGGCGAAGCTGACCAACGGCTATTCCGGCGGTGGTGTCGATGGAATTGTCTGGGAGTGGGTGACGTGCCCTATCGCCCAGACGACTCCTCTGTTCATCAAGATGCATGCCGGCTCGTCCAAGTACTGGTTCGCCGCTACCGTCGAGAACGCCCGGGAGCGGACCGCGAAGGTGGAAGTCAGCAGCGACAAAGGATCGACGTGGAAGGAGACCAGCCTCAAGAACTACAACATGTATGTCCTGGATGGCGTTCTCCCCGACAACACTGCCTATGTCCGTGTCACCAGCATCTCGGGCAGCCAGGTGATTGTTCCAGACGTCGACCTGTCCTCTGGGGTTGTCACCAAGGCATCCAAGAACTACTAAAAGAGTTTCTACTTTCTCGGTCTCTTATTCTTCTCTTGTTCTCGAGAGAGCAAAAAGACAGATTACAACTCCTAGAAGGGTTCACCAAGGATGGCAAGGATACCATCCAGTCCTATTAGTATCATTCTACACAGTGTCTTATTTACCTTTAGCTTTACAACATTTATTGTTGTTTTATTTCGATTCTAGCTTATCTATTAACAATTTGATTGGCATCTTCTATGGCCTGTGACGGTCACAGATCTCGTCTGCTCCTTATCCTGAACTTAGCCTTCCAAGTATGTTTGACGCAACGCTAAAATGTTAATCTGCTCAAAGTGTCGCTCCGCATACCACTTGATATCTCTTGTTGACCTGGACACCGACTATTCAATTTCTCGACAAAGCCTACATCATAAACCGCAAAGAACCTCTGACTTCGAAAATACATCCAAAAAAGGGAGGCGAGCAAAGAAAAAGAAAAGGACATCGCCGATAACAGTTCGAGATGAAGTCATCGCAGTCAGAGCCCACCAGACGTGGGATCAAAGCCCCTTCCCCAAGCGCCAGCGGCAAAGGGCAGCCTGGCCGCGTACCAGCCAAGAATACGAAGAAACCTCTTGCGGAATCTTCTTCTTCAAGCCGAACGAGCCACATGGCGAATTCTGCCAGTGGTATCACTCCACCTTCACCGTGCCCAAGGACACCATGTCCGAACTGGTCGGCCATCCAATCGACGAATAGGATCCGGGAGGCTGGGAGCCCATCTACTTCAACTGTAGGAGCAATTCATGATGTACTGCAAAGCCGGCAGATTCCATGACATCAAGACCCAGAAGGAAGTCATGGCAGCCATGGCGACGCGCGATCCCACAAGGAGCAAAAACGGCTTGCCCGCCTGACTACGGGCTTTGATGCAGCATCATGGGATGAAATCAAGAGTGAAGTCGTAGTCGCCGGAAACCTGGCCAAGTTTGAGCAGAACTCCAAGTCCAAAGACATTTTGTTACAGACTGGGGACAGGATACTTTGCAGAGGCGGCGTCGCTGGATCGAGTCTGGGGAATTGGGTATACCGCGAGAGAAGCCATGGCATTTCAGGATTCATGGGGGGGGAATAGGCTCGGAAGGGCTCTTATGGAAGTAAGAAAGTCACTACAGAGGAAGGAGGAGGAGTTTGAGGTAGACGACGACGAGGAGGTGGGTAAAGGGGGAGATAAAAAAGAGGAGGTGGAAAAGGCTGTTAAGTTGGAGATGGAAACTGGCACTTGGGATCGAAATGGCCAGTGCATCGCAAATGGTCCGAATCACGGGAGTAATCATGTTCAATCTGGTATCATACACAACTAATTGAACATGACCACGCATAATTAACTACCAAGCCTCCCACTTCTGCCCGCCCATAGCCACAAGCCTGTTGAACAACTCGTCCCTCAGCGGACAGGCCGTGATCTTGTAGCTCTCGCCCGTGACCGTCTTGATCTCCAAGCCGTCGGCGACCTCGCGCTCCATGGACCAGCCGACAACCAGCTTCGCCTTCCAACCGTACCCGCCAATCTTCTTCAGCTCGGCGATGTCCGCCACCGCGATCGTCCACAGGGGATGCAGGTCTTCGCGCTCCTGGGTGCCGATCTTCTCGATCGTGGAATCGGTGCTGAAAGCCACAGCGGGGATAGTGGCTGCGGTGCTGATGTAGGCGTGGCCCTTCTTGCCGTTGAACCGAGCCTTGAACTCGACAGGGCCCGAAGTGAGGTCGGAGCCGGGACGAGGAACGACACCGAGGCGGTCCTTGGCGTGATGAGAACCAATCTTGGCGCGAACGCTGTCGGTGCCGATGGCCGTCTTGACGGCGCCCTTTGTCGTGCCTTTGAAGAGTCCCAGAATCTTGCTCCCGTGCTTGCCATGCTTTGATGTCTTGGCAGCATTGATGTCGGCGCCGTCTGTCTCGTGCGCCACGGTTGGGTCGTGCTCCATCGCTGCGTCGAGCTCGGCGTCTGTGGCATTGAGAGGCGGCTCAGCACCCGTCGCACGAAGATCTTTGTCGGTGACTTGGGCAGGCTTCTCAGGAGGAGGCTGGTCGATACGCGGAGGTGGAGGCAGCGGTGCCTTGTTAGCTTCGCCAACGCGGAGGAGGGTGATGGTGAGTTGTGCATTGGTCGGAACACCCTTGAGCAGAGTACTTTGGAATATGTTAGCAGTTGTCTTTGGGGAGAGCATCCATGAACTGCACTTACTTTCTGAGCTCGAGCAGCTTTTGCCAGTTGGGGATGGTGCGGTTGAGCCAGTTCAGGCCACGAGAGATGACGGGGTCGCCAAAGAATCCGAAGCCGATACCGAAAGTGACGCCCTTCATGAACATGTAAGAGGTCACAAACAGGGAGATACCGAAGAGAGGCATGACAACTGCGGCAAGGCGTAGCCGGTAGGTGTCACGCGGGAATGGAGGAGTCGGCGACAGGGCACTGAGCATAGGCAGTTAGCAAGTGAATGTTTAGCACAAAGGATATCGGATTACAAGTGACATACTTTGCAAATCGCTCCCAAGTATCGGTAAAGTCGGCGATTCCATGCATGATAGGCCGCATCTTGGTCCACATGGCGGTCTCCACGGGGACCTTGGTCTTGTCGTGCTTGGAGGAGGCCTTCTGCCCCTCGGCCGCGTCCTTGGCATCTGCAGCTCCGACTGCCATCGCAGTCGGGTCAGGGGCTACCTCTTGTGCGCCTTCTCCGCTGGAGTCTGGATCGCCTTGCGGGTGCTTACCGGTAGCGCTGCTGAGAGCCACGGACGCGATGCTGCTCACGAAGTTGCTGGCTTCCTGCTCGACAGCCTCGCCCTTGTGGTTCTCAGGCGCTCCCGTGGCGCTGTCATGGCTGCCGAGGACTCCGGACTTGGGCTTCTGCACTCCGCCCGACTTGGCGTCGACGAGTGCGAGGGGTGCAGGCGGGAAGAGGAACTCGCGGGAGGGAGGGTAGGCGATGAGAGCAATCAGAGTGGCGGAGAGTAACGGTACGATGAGGTCAAATGCCCAGGCGACAAAGTAGACCTTCGGAAAATCAGCATGTGAATAAAGTAGATACCACAGAAGCTTGATACTTACGCCGCAGAACCAGGCAGTTCGCTTTGTCTCCCGCCATGAACGCAGCCTAGCAATGTGCTTGATGACTCCTAGAACACCCACAATCACAGTCATGTACAGCCGCTCGATGTTCGCGCGCAGCTTGTCCGGAGAGAACTCCTCGTCGTCGGCAATGTTGAGGTCCAGATTTCCAGGTACGGCATAAGGATAGGCTTTGACATGGTACATTTGCTGCAGGGCTATTAACACAACAGTGCCGTTTGAAAGGGAACAATTGGCACCCGACTGCGCGATCTCACCTTGTTGAAACGGCGGACAAGCAGCCACAGTTCCTCATTGCTGATACCGCCTACGAGGGGTGCAGCGATGTTCTGCTTCTTCTCGTTCCAGCCCAGATCCCGTACTTCCTTTTCGTGGCCTAGTTGCGCGATGCCTTTCTCGTCATGATCATCTGTAGCAAGTGCGTGCGACAGGGAAGGGTCGTCCTGCAAGGTCTGTGCTATTTCCTTCTTTCCCGGCTCTGTCACAGGAGAGGTATCGTGCGGGATGGGCAGAATGTCCTTCAAGCTGGTCCCGGGCCCGCTGTCGCCAGTGGCCGGGTTTTCGGCCTTCTCGCCCTCCGTCGACGCCATCGTGGATGTGTTTTATGGCTCGCGGTCTAAGTGTGCAAAGAATTGCGGTATTCACGGGAAAGTCTCTGAGAAGACAGGTAGCCGTCTGGTGGAGCTGGAAGATAGGTTATGTGTTCACGACATCCGACTTAGATGCCAGTCCATTTAGACCTGTCTGTATTTCAAGACAGGAAGCCATGAAAGCTGTCATGACGTCGATGGCTGAGACCCGCGGTGCCACCTCCCCGAATCTTGGCATGCTAGCGGATCGCGGTGACGCAGTGCCAGCACGCTAATTCGGGCTTCTGTAGCGCCTGTCTCATGAGCTGATTGCTTCTCTCAGTTAGGCGGCCCAATGTCAGGTCCGCATGGTCCGCGATCAAAGATCCAGAAGCATACGGGTATTATTCCAAGTATTGTACTTGATGATGGTCTAGATGGACGTTGAAATGCCAACATGGGATTCTGCTCCGCCCACTCCCAATCTGGACCCTAGATTGCGACCTGTCGTTGATGGTGGACCATCCTCACCCCTTGCAAGGTCGCACCCGGAGATCCTGGCCCGGTAGAGTGGAGGCCCGATCGCGATCCCGTCCGTCTCGCCTTGTCGGTGCTGCCAAGTAAGGTCGTCCGGTCCACATTATCTGCACACAGTTCGTCTGATGTCGAGGTGTTGATCTCACCGTGACGTTATGCTTTCGCAACGGAGCCCACAGCAATTGGGCATTCATTGCTTTGGCAGAGCTACGGATACCGATGTGAATAATGCTGTGAAAATGTGTCAAACGAAATCGTACGCTTCTCCCAATACATTGAGAATTTTACGAGATTGGTACTAGATTGGATTATTGCCCAGGAATAGAGTACAATGGCATCTCTCGTCTTCCAGCTGAGCGGCACCTGCAACAACTACCCATGGGGCAAGAAAGGTCGGCAGTCGCTCGCGGCCCAGCTCTGCGCCCAGACGCCCGGGACCGACTTCAAGATCGAGGATGACCAGTTCTACTCCGAGATGTGGTTCGGGGACTACCCTAACTTCCCAGCCCGTATCTTGGAGACGGGCGAGCCCCTGAGGGATGTCCTCGACAGGAACAAAGAGAAGCTTCTAGGCAGGAAAGTCATCGAAAAGTACGACGCGCAGGTGCCCTTCCTGCCAAAGGTACGAAGCATTCCCTTCCAAGAAGCATGACTGTGACGATATAGACAAAGCTCTGACGATACCTCCCAGATACTTTCCATCCAGAAGGCCCTGCCGCTGCAAATACACCCTAACAAGGAGCTGGCCAGCAAGCTCCACAAGGAGAACCCGGAGAAGTTCACGGACCCCAACCACAAGCCCGAGATCGCCGTCGCCCTGTCCAATTTCGAGCTGTTCGCCGGCTTCAAGCCGCTCGACGAGATCGCCCCGGTCTTCACCCTCCTCCCGGAACTCGCGCAATTTGTCCCCTCCGGACAGCAGTCCGACCCGAACTCCTGGACCGACGACACCCTCCGCCAAGTCACCCGCGCCATCCTCAAGGCCGACGAACCGGCCATCAAGGCTGCCCAGGACGCCCTGCTGCACCGCGCCGACCGCGCCGCCCTGGACGCGCGCGGCGGCGGCGCGGGCTACGTCCTCGACCTCCTGCCGCGCCTGCAGTCGCAGCACGGCGCCCGCGACCCGGGCACCCTCGTGGCGCTGCTGTGCATGAACTTCCTCGCGCTGGGGCCCGGCGAGGCCGTGTACGTCCCGCAGGACGGGATCCACGCGTACCTCTCGGGCGACGTCGTCGAGTGCATGGCGCGCAGCGACAACGTGCTCAACACGGGCTTCTGCCCGCCCGCCGGCCGCGACTCAGCCGACCTCTTCGCCGCGGCGCTGACCTTCCGCGCGCACGCCCGCGACGACGTCTACCTGCCCTCGACGCAGAGCGGGAAGAGCAGCTCCGGCAGGACGGCCGTGTACGAGCCGGATCTGAGCGAGTTCGACATGCTGCGGGCGGACCTCGGGGCCGGCGAGGAGGACGAGCTGTCCGAGAGCGACGGGCCCGGCGTCATGATTGTGACGCGGGGGTGCGGCGAGATGGAGGCTGATGGCGGGACGTTTGACCTGTCGGAGGGCTTCATCTTCTACGTGGCTCCCGGCGTGCGGGTGAAATGGAGGACGGAGGCCGGGATGCAGATCTTTATGGCGGTCGTGTGAAGTGCATGTTGGTGGCCAGACTGGTTGTTGCTTGACATGGACTGTCCAGATTGCGTGCAAGCCTCCATTTTTGAACTTTGTAGATCTCCCGTAAATTGGTCGGTCAAGAAAGCGACCCTTCCTGAGAGTTGGACATGAACACTTGCTGTGTAGAAAGAAGCACCATACATAAAAAATACATCATCACATTCTACAGGCACAGAGTTGGGCACTCCAGACATCTGACTTTCAAACCGCTGAAATTTGCATTGAAGCCGCTTCACTAATGTCTACACAAAAAGGTGTCCATCGTGTCTAATCTGTCCACCTAAAGGGTGGAACAAAAACAGCATGGCGCGCTCTCTCTCTCTCTCTCTCCATAGAATGTGTGATCCGGTACAGGTTTAGAAAAGCCATCGCTAAAAGAGAAAGGGAGGAAGGTACAAAGCAGCTCGGTCGTGTGGGTATCTCGTTTCTCGTCCATGTCACGGTAAAAATCGCCTCTTTTACTCCTTGACAGCGCCGAAACAAGTCTCCATCATGATGCCGCAGATGTTGTACGGGTCCGCGTTGGAGGCGGGCCGCCTGTCCTCGAAGTAGCCGTAGCCCTTGGCGGCGCACTCGCGGGGGATGCGGATGCTGGCGCCGCGGTTGGCGACGCCGTAGGTGAACGAGTCGATGGCGCCCGTCTCGTGGCGGCCGGTGAGGCGGAGCTCGTTGTTCTCGCCGTAGACGGCGATGTGCTCCTTGTGGCGGCTGGACAGCTTCTGGATGGCCTCCTCGATGTACTTCATGCCGCCCTCCTTGCGCATCTCCTCGGTCGAGAAGTTGGAGTGCAGACCGGCACCGTTCCAGTCGCCGGGGATGGGCTTGGGGTGGAAGCTGACCTTGGCGCCGAACTCCTCGGCGACACGGGACAGGAGGAAGCGGGCAATCCAGAGGTGGTCGCCCATCTCGATACCCTCGCAAGGGCCGACCTGGAACTCCCACTGGGCAGGCATAACCTCGGCGTTGGTACCCGAGATCTTGATACCGGCGTACAGGCAGCACTTGTAGTGGGCCTCGACAATGTCGCGCTGGACAACCTTGCCGGCACCGACACCGCAGTAGTAAGGACCTGTGGTGAGAATGTCAGTCGCAATTCAAAGCAAGAGCAAAGTCACTGATCTCTTGCTTACCCTGAGGAGCGGGGAAACCGTTGGTGGGCCAGCCATATGGCCTGTCGTCGAGGTCGAGGAGAGTGTACTCCTGCTCGAGACCGAACCAGGGCTTGTGGCTGGCGTGGGTCTCCATCAACTTGGCGCACTCATGGCGGTTGTTGAACTTGTTGGGGGTGCCGTCGGCGTTCCAGCACTCGGAGAGGACAATGATGTTGCCGCCGTTGACCCGGAAGGGGTCGGGGAAGACGGCGACGGGCTTCAGGTAGACATCGCTGTTGTCGCCGGGGGCCTGGCCGGTGGATGAGCCGTCAAAGTTCCACGTGGGAAGCTCCTCCGGGGTGTAGACGCCGCTCTTCTTAGCATCGAGAGTCTAGGTGGGTTTCACGTTAGTTACTGATTGACCCCATCTTCCGAAATTCCGAAATTGGGAACTGTTTTCTCTTCGAAGCACACAAGATAAGCTGCGGAGCTCCTCTCGTCGACGCTTGCCAAGCCAAAAAGACGCAGGTACCAGACACAAGCAGTCTGTAGATTTCCCTATCTCGATGGATGGATCGAGGTGTGGGGTGCTTCTTCTCTGCGGGCTGGTTTTGGCGCCGTGGGTGGATGTGTGCAGCTCGGGCCACGGGCAAAGTCGGAAGTGGGCCACCGCCACGAGAGAGGCGGTCTTCTTATCTCTCGGCGGCGGGGGAGAGCGCAGCGAACGAAGCGCAGGAAACAAATCCGGGGAAAGGAAAACACTCACTCTTGACTTGGATCGGGTGCCGCCCTCTGCGTCAATCCAGACGTACTCGGCCATGATCTTGCCCCGCTGGTCGAGGTCGAGATACTTTTTCAAGTTCTCGGTGTACGTCTTGAAGGACTCCTTGGTCGCCATTTTTGCTGTGGTTCTGCGGTCTGCAGGAGATGATGCAGGGATCTCAGTGGTGGTGGGCGGTGGGTGTTGGCGGGCTGGGGGCACTACTGTACTGCGCCAGGTGCTGTATGTGGGTTGTGGATTGGGTGTATCGAGAGACTCTGGTCGATACGGAGGCTGGTGTGATATGTTCGATACCCACGAATGAGTATGATTTGAAAAATATGTAGAGGAGGAAATGTCGGATTCGAGAGAACCAGGAACCCCCAGCAGCTTTATTCGACGGCCACCAGGGGGGACAAAGTTTCTTTTATCTCTGCCCTCGACTCGATCCAGAGCATATTGACGCACTCAGGCGACACATGCAGGGGAGTCGCCTAGCGAGATAAGAGATAAGCCGGCCTTGGTTCCAGTCCAGTTCCCTTTGGGGGGGCGGACCCTTATCTTACAGGGGCGTGCGGGTGGCCCGATGGGGGTGGGACGACCTGAAGAGTGGGGTTCCCACATGCCGTTGGCCCAAAGGTTGGATGTGTGGGATAAGGCGAAACACACCCGTGGACACTGGAAGCATCGGCCAGCTGCCGAATCACGGCCTGAGCTCAACCAATTCAGATGCTGCGATTCGGGGGGCGGCAGCTGGGCGTTGCCCCAATGGAAGGATCGTCGACCCCGGTCCTGGAGGAATGAAATGCCTCACTCTTCATTGGAGATGATCCATGATCCTCCGGAACAAGCGGTTTTGCTTTTTGTTTTGCTCTCGTGAGACCGAAACTATCGCTATCACTATGGTCCCGCGGCATCGAGCTTTCTCTCCTATTTGTGATCTCTCTCTTTACTGCTTACTCGCGCGGGAACCACAAACCAGCACAACGCGGAAGGTTACGAATGTGGCTCACGATACCAAGATGTGTCCACCATGTGTCTGTCCAGTGTCAATCTCGAGTAGCCGGCCAGCCCCGGTAGCGACTGGGCTGGATATTTCTGCAAGTACTGCTGCTACTCGTTATCCGGAGAATGTTTGATGGTGGCCGGCCCATGATGGGCAATGGGCATGCGATCTCGCAACCACCACAGCTGACCAGCCAGGGCACGCAGGTACAAGGTAGCTACGTACTCTCAGTGGGGAGCTCTAGGCAAGATGGCGCTGTACGGAGTTAGATTTATTAGGCCCTGCTATTTTAGACTGCCCGCGCTACGAAAAAGAATAGGTCAGCCTTATCAACGCCTTCTGATTGGCCACGCGGGCTTTTTCCTTTACACATTCGCCTGACGAGGCGGCGGATTTGCTTCCTGGCTTTGGGGTGCAGTCTCCAGAGTCCAGACAGACCAGACCATCCCTCCATCTCGCCGCGGTACCATTGCCCGCTTGGCCGCCCGCGCGTCGTGTGATGATGGACAGCTCCTCCGACTTGGGGCAGCCTCCATTCTCCCGTCCTTGACACGCGGATCGACCCCGGGTTTGCGGCGAGCAGCCAAGCAGCCTGTGCACCCCCTCCCAGCCCTTTCACGAGACACACACCACCCCCCGGATTCGATTTGTCGTCGACCTTAGTCATACCTGTCAGTCAAAGTTTTGACAATTCTTTCTTTCCTACCTGTACTTCCAACGGCAGTGCAGATCACTCGCTTTTGCAGATCTGGGGAAGCATATGTATCTCCGTACCCGACCTACAGTCAATGTGGACGAGCACTCGACTACAGCGCGACAATACGTCCCTACCAAATCGATTTCACTGTAATGGCTTTCGACCGATCTCGGAGTGCTTTTTTTTCTCTCTCACCATATTATGTCAGCATCCTTCATATCTGTTCCTGGTGTGTTCGGGGTCTCCCTAGTGGTGTCTCAAAAAGTCTAAATGCCTGGCCATAGTGGCTTCGCTGCATTCCCCGTCATATAGACGGTCGACCAAGTGATTCAAAAAGAACTGTATAAAGCACCGATACCTATAGAGTCTATGTACGTAGCTACATGAATCTGGACGAAGCGACTGCTTGCAAGGTATAGTTCACCGCGTTGGCCGGCACCCGAGGGTAGAACTCAAAGGTGAACGCGGTAGTCTTCCCGGCCGCAATGACGGCATTGACCGTATTGGCAGTCAGGATCACACTATCCTTGTCCCACCTCCACTGCGAGTCGTAAGTCTAGATGAGTCTCGTCAGCTAATCAGTCACTTCCAATGCCGTAAAAGTGAAACGTACCCCTCGTGCTTGCTGCAGCGGTCCGAGCCACTTTGTCCACTCGTCGAACAGATAGGTCCCGTCAATCTCCACCATCTTCACTGTCGCGAGCCTGGAAAGGCCCTTGAACGTGACCGGTATCTTGAGGTCGGCCCCGGCGACAGCGACAGAGCTCGTCGTCGCCAGTTCGGGCGTGTCCCACTGGACGATCTCGACCTGCACCGGCGCACCGGCGGAGAAGGTCAACGTCAGGTTGGCTTTGCTTCCGGGCTCTGCTGTTGGCGAGAGGTATTTGGACAGGAAACCGGCCTTGAATACCACGCTCGAGCCCGAGATGGAGAAGTCTGCTGACTGCAGGGCCTCGCCTGTCCCGGCTTCAATCTTGACCAGTGCGTTACCGTTCAGCTGCAGATCCACCGTCTGGTCGGTCACATCCTCGCCTACGCGATGGAAGATGTAAGCCGAGCTAGATTGCGTTGGCGCCAATGGGTCGACCGTGCTCTCTGCCAGAGTGTTGGAGATGCCCTTGGCGGCATCGATCATGATGTCAATCCCTACCGGGTCGCGCCACTTGCTGGCGGCCCTGTCGAGGTATGCGTCACCGTTGTCCCAGACCATGACGGATGTGTTGCGAGCCGCTGCCTGTCGTGTGACAAAGTCGAGCCACTTGTGTCTCGCGGCAGTCTCACACTGCTGAGGGAATGCGTCATATTCCCCGATGACGAGGGGCACGTCGGTGAAATTGTCGCGAACGATGTCGAGGTCGGTCAGAACCGCCTTCTTGTCATCCTCTGATCCCCAGATCGTCTTGCCCCTGGTGCTGTCAATTCTGGTCTATATGCATTACAAACGAAAACTAGCTACTTACCAAGCATTGAATGTGAAGTCGTCTAAAATGAGTCGACCGACATCAGTTGAAAGACTTTTGTGTAGAAGTCTCGAGCAAGACTTACAAGGGTTATAGTAGTGATATTGCAGAGCCCATGGATTGACGATATTCCTCGGCTTGACGAACCATTGTGACGTCTTGGAAGGATCCATGGAGCCTCCCACTAGAGTAACAACACGCTGCGTGTTGAACCCACCAGACCGAGCCAGTCCATTCAGGAAGACCCTGTTGAGAATGTTGATCTTGGCGCCATCCTCTGCTGTATTTGCCGGGGGCTCGTTGATCGGCTCGAACGCGAGCAGAGATGACTTGCAGCCTAGCTTCTCGCCAATCTGCTGCCAAGACTGTTGGAATTTCTCGTATATCATGCTCAGGTTTGCATCGCTCTTGGTGACGTCGACCCAGGAAGAGTCTAGAGAGAATGGTACCAGCTCAGCCAGTGTGTAAGTATTAAGGTAGACGTCTAAGGGCTTACCATGATGCATGTTTGTAACCACGTAGAACCCTCGCTCCGTCGCCATATCGACGACGTCCGAGACGCGCTGCAGCCACGACGGGTCAATCGTCCAGGAAGGCGATCCGGTCAGAAAGTGGTCGGTATAGGTCACTGCGCGCCGTTCGTCAGTTCCTGTCACCTCCACTCGAGGGAATTAGATCTCACGGCTTGCCTGGGATGCGAACACTCTTGAATCCAGCGGCTTTGACATCATCAAACGTCTTCGGGACCACAGGCGGGTTGTTCCAGGACCCCTCAGTCGGAAAGGCGTCGAGGGTATTACCCAGATTCCACCCTGGGTTCATCCCTGCGACGAATTCGGCCGCCGAGATGGGCTTGAACTCTTCCGTGCAAGTCACTCTGGCTGTGTTTCCATGGCCTGCTAGCGCTTGTGTAAGTCTAAAAGATATTGTCAATAAACGACATAGTACTAGGATTCAGAACAGTACTTACAGAAAGAAGACGGGCCAGAAGGCCCTATTGAAGCATTGCATGATGATCTCAACAAGCCTGTTGATCTTCGAGATATATCCCAGTGCCTCAGTGAACGGGCGTAGAAGGTTCAATACTGATGTTTGGAACATTTGAAAGATATAAGCAATCCTAGCGTCGTAATGTGAGATTCAATTTAACCACGCTCCTAACTCTCTGTAATAGCGAGATGCCAATGTCGTTGGCGGGATCTCTGGTACTCGAGATTACCCATCGGGGATGTGAGCTTCACTGGGAAATGAATGTAAGGCCCGTGGTGTAGGTGGTCCCACCGAGTGCAACCCAGATTGTACAACATGTAAGGCACGTCTTAGTCAGTATGCACGCGTTACAGGGTTCCTTCGGACGCGTTGCTGGATGCGATCTGACCCGGTGTTCTCATGCAGCGTCTCGTTCTTGGATTATCAGTGTACCAATCAAATATCAGGGCAGCAATTGTATTTGTGCTCGTGACCTTATTGTAGAATTAACTGCACTGGATTCAAAACGGCAAGTGGTATAATAAGAGAAAAGGAACGCGCTCGCGGTATGTAAATTTTAGGGAAAATGTCGAAAATCACCCCCTCAAGCGTGCTTGCCACCCGCAACACTTGCAACCGGCCCCTTTCCGGCCTCCATGACACTTTCGTAGTCAGGCGGAGCATCCGATCCTGTTGCGGCAGCCGGCGGCTCCTCGCGCGGCGCGGCGCGTGAGCTCTCTTCTCTTGCTCTTGATGTACTCGAGCCATAGAGCCGTATGCTCTGCAGCGTCTTGGCATCCAGGCCCGACGTGTCCGCCGCGTAGTCCAGCAGAACCCTCGCCAACTCCTTGTTGCCGGCCTCGACGACCTTGTTGAACATCGACTGGCCGACGAGGTCCTTGGCGTTGGGGTCGGCGCCGTGCTCGAGCATGAGCCGGGCGAGGGGGATGTTTTGCATGTCGAGGACGTAGCTGAAGATCGGCAGGCTGGTGATGTCCCGCACATTCGGGTCGGCGCCTTTGTCCAACAGCAGCTTCACTAGCGGGAGCGTGTTTCCGTGCTGGAGGATGGCCTCCACGAGCGCGGTCCTGCCCGTGATGTCCCGCTCGTTGGCATCGGACCCGCGCTCGAGCAGGAGCCGTACCACCTCCAGGCTCGCTCCCTGTAGAGCCTGGATGAGGATGCCGCGGCCGGTGATATCCCGCGCGTGAAGATTTGCGCCGTGGTCGAGCAGGAGACGGATCACGTCCACGTTGCCCCTGTCAATGACCTCGATGAAGTACTGGCGGCCGATGATGTTCGCCTCGTTGGGATCCGCCCCGTGCTGGAGGAGGGTCTCGAGGACAGCCAGATCGCCAGCCTGAGCCGCATAGAAGAGCGGCGGTAGATTCTTCGCCCTGGTGGTAAGGTTTGCGCCCTGCTCGATGATGAATTCTATCATGTCCACCCGCTTGCTGTCGATGGCACAGAATAGTGCTGTCTTGCCGTCCTCGTTCTTGCCGTTGATGTTTGCTCCCTGTGACAGGAGGCCCTTGATCAGCCCTGTGTCGCCGTGTAGCGTCGCCTGGCAGAGAGGGGACACGAGTGGCTCGGGCTTGAGGCGCATCGCGGAGGTGACTGCATTCCAGGTGTTTGCAAGACTTGACAGAAAGCCAGATCCCGATGCACCTTGTGACGAGGAGCCTGCAGACTGTGTGCTGGAGTATTGAGGCGGAAGGTCGGCGCTGGTGGATGTCTTGGTCCGGATGATGTCTCTGCGCTGCAAGACCATCGTTCTCGTGTGTGAGGCCTCGCTGAGGAGATCTCGCGCACTCGCTGCGTTCAAGATGGCGTCTTGGTCCCTCACAGACTGCACCTCCAGCAGTCCCTGGAAGAGACCTAACAGAGCTAATTCCGTCTTTAGACAAGACAGAAGCTCTTCTACCACTGACACATCTAGCTCCTGCGATTGGACAGAACCAAGGCGGCGTGCCTGTTTGTCTATGGCAGCTAGTGCGCGCTCAAACTCCTGCAGCTGGTTGAGGATCTCCGAGCGAGCCGTAATCGACACGGCGGTGGACCTCTCGAGACTTCTTTCCAGATTGGTTGCCTCCTCGCTGACCCCTTTGAGATTTTGGCCCAACTTCTCCACGTCCGCCCACTGTTCATCGCCAGTGTGAAGCCCATACGCTTCTTCCACCTCTGTCGCAGTCGCCGCGGCGCGATTGGCCACAGACGAGCAGAGAGATGTGATTGATGTGATTGACGTCATCGTTTCAGATCTCTGTTTTGTGTTCGTAGAAAGAAATAAGAATTTGAGCGACTATCGTGAGCGAGCGCGAGAAGGAGGCTGTTGGGGCAGGATCATATACTGAACGGGCAAAAGTGGGCTGATTTGGGAGGAGGGGCATTCGCCAAGGCAGCAGACAGCCTTGATGTCGCATTCTCACACGCGGCATCGCCAGAGCTGACCACAGAGCTAGCCGAAATGGCTGTGGGTGACGTTGGCGCATTACGAATGCTGCTACGGCTTACTCTTCAATCTTTTGAGCAGCCAGGTGTGTTTCTCCCCGAACACTGGACCATGCAAAGCAATTGACGGAAATTCTTTATAATTATATTCGTGCCGTTCTTCGCTGGCCGCTATTCGTGCATCGGCAAGAAGACAGGCCTCACAGCAATTAAATATGTCACCACCCACCTTCTCCGTCATTAGGATATGGTATTTGCTAGTATTCAGCACCCTCACGATCAATACTTTTACCTAGCTCTTTCTGACCTCAAGCTTGTATTGACACCAAGAAAGATCATGACGATGTCTGGCTAGCGACTGACGGCGAAAGAGACCCCTGCAGCTTCAGTGTAAGACCTCGGAAGATTCACAATTGGTTCCTTTGGGTTGGGTTCAAGCATTTGCAGTATCAGTCCCATTCGGAGTTGCACGCCTCTAGGTGTGCATGGCCACAAGAAGGGGCATATGGATAACGAGGCGGGCAGGCCGATAATTGGCTCATGAATAATAGGCACACCCGGAGGCAGACTTTGGTTCGAATCATGCTGGCAAATCATCTGGGATGGGGCTCAAGCAAAACTAGGCACATCAGAACCTCGTATTAAAGCTGCCGATTGTTCATCCCCGCCCTCGTTCTCTGCTCTCCCTTCCGAACGACATCCTCAACATGCTAAGGGTCTGTACCGAGCACTACCTACTATTACCATCGTCAAGCCTCACGAGAATTTTTGAAACAGGATGGCCGATGCTGTCGGATTAGCCATAGGCTTACTGTCCTGCGGCATACAGCTCTACTCTGCCGTTGACACCTTCTGCCGCGCACTCAAGGATCGCGACCTTGACGCGTCCAGCCTTTCATCGACGAGTAGGCAGCTCCAGAGCCATGGCCAAACTGTCCTAGACACCCTGAATAGGATACCAGCCGAGTACAGCAAACATACGGAAAGTATCACCTACGTACTGGACAACTGGCACGCCGAGAAAGGGGAGCTGGATATTCTCCTGCGAAAGGTCACCTCCTGCACCGAGTCGCTTAATTGGACAGAGAAGCTGAAGTATGCCTTTCGGGAGCAAAAGGCCGTGTCAGCCTTCAAGGCCCGGCTCGAGGGGCATATGAGAGCACTCCTGCTCGCTCTGGAAGTCCTTGGAGTGTGAGTAACTTGATCTTCTATGTAAATCTCAATATGATTCGATATGCTGATGAAGTATCATTGTAAAAGCGATTTGGAAGCCAAGATCCTTGCAAACACAGCCGAATCTCTCCGTCTTGGCGACAGCACCCACACTAATGTGGGAACCATTTTAGCAACACTGTCAATGTTGAAAACACAGCAAGCAACTGTCATCGATGAGTTGCAACGAAATTTGGCCCTTTCCAGCGAGATCTCAGCTCAGGTGAAGCGAGTCTGCGGCGATGTTAGCGACATGAAAACCGTCGTAAAATGCGGCGAGAGTTCCCAGAATGAAGCATTGAGGTTGATCTACGAGGAGCTTTCTAGGCTGAGGCAGGCACAGTCTGTTCAAAGCACTCTTCTTCAAAGGAACATCGTGGCCACGGTGGATAAAACCAATGTAGGCGTATTTCCGAGCTATTGTAGCTAAAGCATTGACACATCTATACAGAGACAGATGTCCTCATCTAACCACTCGGTTTCTGGGCCAACGGCTGACGCGTTTACAACTCCGCTTTGTTCAAGTTCGGACAGATGCAATTGCCAGTGGCGTAGAAAGTGCCACCGTTCCGGAGCGGCACTGTTTGGCCTCGCTCTGCTGGTAGAGCGTGGGCACTGGATATGGCACGAGCCGCATTGTCCCTATCATACGGGCCGGTCCTCCCATCGAAGTATAACCGTCTCGATGCAAGTACGACGTTTCCTAGCAAGGAAAATCACAGCCACACTAGAGTTCGCCTACAGTGGTGGAGGCTGCAGTATATCCCCAAATCTAACCTTCGTCGCCGTAGTTGACATCTCGAGACATAGGGCTTTCCACTTCATATTAGATATTGATCGCGTTGCATGTGAACAAGAGTTACCACCTCAAGAACTGGAGAGCTTCATCACCTCCGGCCTAACGCGTTTGGTTGCAAAGGTCAAGGAGGGTCAAATGTCCCTCAGCGGCGTTGATAACGTGAATGGAATGAATCTTCTTGAGTTCTTGCTTTGGGCGAGTATACAGGCATGAAATAAACCTCGCGGTGACCTTGCTAATGGCATTGCCAGGTGCTATCATGGGCGCACCGGAAGAAGATGAACATGAAGCCTCTTATCGACCTGACAATTTTCGTTTACGAAAACGTCTATCCGTTCGTCGACCGATCACAGTAAGTCGAATGTCTGGATAGACACATATTGATTTTGATGCTAATACGGTGCCATAAAGCTTCATTCCCTCACTGGCGGAGTTCACTGGGAAGACAGGAGCTTTTCCGCCCGATCTTGACAACCTGGTATGGGCTATATGGACGCAAAATTGTTTGCGGGTGCATGTCCTGATCAACTCAACTACATGGGAAGCCTCTCTTCAGATGGCTTACATCAAGAGCTTCTGGGGCTGCAGGTTTCTAGCTCACTGTAAGTTCCTGATTTTATCCACCATTAGTCTGTTCACAGGACTGTGCTGATGAATAGTAGCAAGAGATATAGGTCCGATAGGTCATGCGATCAGGGCTCAGTCACTTGTGGAGCTTGATCGAATCGTTGATGCTGATCCTGCAAGTCTACGCGAAACTGTGGATTGCATCACCACGGTACAGCTAAGTCTGTACTGGCCGGCAGGGATGGAGTACATATTACAGAGACTAGTCAACGATTTAGATGGGCTGGAGATCATCCATAACCTGTTCTTGAGACCAGCTCTGGCCGAGATCACTGCGACTCATCGCGACATACAGTCAGAGTACTATAGTTGCCAGGGCTGCAACCTGTCCAGAAGTATCTCGTTGATTCTAAGCTTCGGGTGTGGGCTCTTGAACAAGGATTTTGCGCGCGGCTTGTCAGTGCGGTGTCTTGAGACGATCCTTGTCGAGCATTTATTGGACCGAAGAACTCGACTCATGGAGGTCGCTCTCAATCATCTCACTGAAGGCGAAGTTACACGATTTGGCTTAAGTCCGAATGGGCCCATTGACAGCGAAGCGATGCAAGTTCTCCCCTACCTCGAACGGCAAGGAGTTGCGATTCCCACCATCCTTCTCCCTTACCAAAAGGGCGACTATCCTCCCGATTGGTATTGGAGACGTTGCTCGATATGGCACTGCCTTGTGTCTTACAGCGGAGATTACACTGCCAGCGCTTTACAAAGAGTTTTTGATGCTGGTTTTACAGACATCGACTCTGGAGTCTTGGGTGGGATAACACCCTTAGCAACCCCAGTCACTAACCCACATCCCCGCGCAAACATAAAGCTATGGCTACTAGAACGGGGTGCCGATTTGCAAAAACGACTTGAAGGCGCATCTTCACCTTTCATCGGTTTCTGGGCGACTCGCGCAACCATCGCGCACAGCATTGCCGTAGGCTATGGAGAAGCACAACGCCGAGGCTGGGAAACAGATCCTGACCATGTGCTGCTTGTACAACAAGTGTTAGCCGTGTCTTGCCGGGATGGCTGTTCTTGTGTCTGCTCTACAGACGGCTGCAGTACCACATTACGTTACCTCAAAAGGTCCTTTGATCTCTGCCTGAACAAAAACTGGAACACCAAATGGCAGGAGATCTGGATAGCGATTGAGAATGAAGTGCATATCGATCTGAACGATGCCCTAGTGAAGCGCTTGAAAGAGCAACTAATGCTGGATCTAGACATTCTCGAGGGCTTCATGGCGGATGATTCGTGGACCGTGTTGCTGATACGATTGCTTTCCATGAAGATCCTAGGCATACGCCACACGTGTTGTGACACCTGGTCGAGTTATCACTACAGAGACGACTCAAAAGCATGGCAGGAAGATATAGCAGAGGTAGGGACTGAGGATTCGGAGAGGTACGACGACTTTCTGACATTGGTGTTTGACATGGAAAACGAGTACAATGCGAAAGTGCAGACGCCTCGGGAATTTCTGCTCGGAACATGGTGGGACCGAATATGGGAAGTCCACCGGGAACAAAACTCACAGCCACTTGACACCAAGGAGTGGACTCGATTGGGCGTTCGGATGGTTCACACAGCACAGAAGCCACCAGACGCGGCCCCGAGGTACGACATGTCGAGATCTGAAGATCGCCGCCTGTATCTAGAACGGCGGATCGATGAGCTTTTCGACGAAACGAAGCCAGCGCCTGACTTGTGGCAGGGAACAACATGGGACCGATCATACCGGGATAGGTGGAGAGGCTGAAGCAGAAAAGTCCACCTGTTTGTTACCAAAGCCAGGCATATCGGACTCCCATCCTACTATTGCCGACAAGCAACCTGATAATCAGCAATAATTCGGGTTTGGCCCAGTCGTCCATCGCCGAATCAACTCAAAACATTATCCCGCGAATGTGCCTATCGGTAACCCTACAGAGTAATCTTGTTCTGCAGGTGTGATGCCTGGGCTTTCTTTTGGTGGGGAGGAGATCTCGGCTGCGGTGTTACTGTTTTCCAGCGCGAGATACCCTTTCAAATGACTAGATAGAGCGTGACTTCTCGACACATGTGAGATGTCTCTGCTTCCACTTCTCATGTAGGAGGTATGCTCGAAGAGGTTTCTCTTATTCTAGCGGAGTGTGTGTGGGCATGCGCGTGCACCTGAAATTCTTGAGTAAGCAGGAAGAAAAGTGGGGGTTTCCATTTGACAATTGGACTTCACCTCAGAAATCAAAGACGAAAGATGCCTTTTTGTCAGAAGGGGCTGGTCCACTAAGGACAACCCTAGGGCAAATTTAGTATGTGGAGCTGTCTCTGCCCAACCACACCGCCCTTTAGGGCCACCCCTAAGGGCCGGCGGCCCCTCTAGTGGCCTTCCCCTTTTCTCTCTTAGAATTAGATATCTTAATAAATAGAATTTAATTGATCTAACCCTTAGTTAATAGTTATAAGTCTGATTAATATCTAATTAAGTAGATTAGAGTAGATCTATTTATTTAGAGTAACTATTATAAGATTTAGACTATAGAGTTATAGATTCCTATAGCTAAATTTAATAAGAAGTAGTTAGAACTCTTTAGAATATAATAATAATCTAATTAATCTTCTATCTAAGTTAGAGTATTATTTAATTAACTCTCTTAATTATTTAACTATAATATTATAGTTAAAAAGAATCTAGATAATAACTAGATAGTAATTCTTATTAATAAAGTAGACTAGAATATATAATATTTATATATCTATCTTAAAGTTATAAATAATAGAATTTAGAAATATATTAATCTAGATAAAGATTAAACTTTAAAGTCTTCTAGAGATTATTTAAGATCTTTTTTTATTCTCTTAATTGTCACAGAATCAACCGCCGTTACCGCAGTGCACTGCCCCAAGGGCGGTCAGCACGATAAGATAGGCAGAAACGCACGGACCACACGATCACCGCAGGACGAGTGATCGTGAGTGATCCAGTCAC